AAAAAAAAAAAACGGACTTTGGAAAGTCTAACCAGACATCGGCGTTTTTAAATACGCCGATCGCGACGATCGGCAAAAATCGAAATCGCTGACGATTTTCGCCGATCGTGATCAGCGTGTAAAATGGCTAGGTGTGTCGCCGACTCAAGTGACTTACAACGCCAAATGATTGATTTATTCGATCCACACTTAAACAACTTTGTTATTAAGTTATTTTAATACTATTTAGTCATTCGTTCATATTTAGCATTTAGAAACTATTTGAATGAAATCAAAGTCCGAAGTTGTTTAGGTTTTAAGTCGTGGCGAGGAATATTGTAATTTTAGTGTGTTGTCTAACTTTCGGTAGATAGTGGACGTGCTAAGTTTTTAAGTTAATTGAAGTTATTGCAAGTATGAAGCAATAATTTTTCAGCATCATCAAAAGGAGCAATGGTTGTGGTTTTGCTGCGATTTTGTAAAGCCCCCTGGAATGATTAAACAGCTCTGCAACATTTTTTTTTTCTTTCTTACGGTAACGCAATAATTTTTTTTTCTGTTACATTTGGGCTGCATGCAATTTTTTCTTCCAACAAGCGTTTGTAGGAATTTTTATTTCAAAATCACCCACCCCCCTCAAGAGTTAAATGGTCAGCCCCTTAAGTAACCCTTGGTAGAACCCAGTGGAGTGTGAAATTTTTTTTTCATGATCTTCAAGTCGTAAGCTTTCCAGAGATATATAGTTTGCCAAGTTTTCAATTAAATCCTAGCCACGAAAAATGGTTGAAAAATGGGCATTTTTTTCAGGTTTACCCCCGTCTTAACGTACGTACCATGCTTGGACCGACACGAAAGTTCTTGATTTGGCTGACGCAGTCAGGGGCTGATTCGGTGGATCGGAAGTTGCATTACTAATAAAAGCTGGCATTGTTAATTTGTGCGCGTTTTCTTAGGAGTTTTCTTAGTAACAGTACAAGTCAGTGAGAGATAGTCAGAAGCCAGTGAGCAGTTTAAGTTGAAGTTACGGTTGCTGGCCGCGGAAAGTACAAACAAAGAAGGTAACTAGAAAATTGTTCTATGTATGATTCCTTGTGCAGACTTGCATTTGCACTTTAGTGATGGAAATATACGAATGCTCGAAAAAACCTCACCAAGAACCGAATACGGGTGCTTTTTTAACTATAGCATTTTGAACGACCGACACGTAAAGTTTACAAGAAAGATATAAGGAAATAATTGATTACTTACAAAACCTGTGCGGCTCTGCGGATACAACCTTGAACAAACTTGCAAAGCGTCACAACGATCTTTTGAAACGAATAACAATAAGGCAAATTAAGTTACGTCACGAACACGATGCCGAGAAAGTTGGTAAGACGGGATGGGAAACTAAAAAGCCGAAAAACACGAGAAAAACAAATTTGAGATATATTACGATGTCAGATATTTACAGCATAAAAATAGAATCTAGATGCCTCTCTAAGGCATGAGAAGCCTTCAGCGTACGTGCAGCCGTGATCTCGGGGTAGGGGCTACACGTAAACGTTACTCTGTATTAGAACATAGCTAGCAGAGTCGCGCAATCAAATTCATTATACGTAAGCGTGCTCAAAATCCCGATAGTGCACGCTGATAGCGTCAGCAAATCCGACTTCGCCAGAAATTTTTTTTTNGTTTTTCGCGTCGCATTTGATGCACAATTCCACCGGCTATGTTCTAAAACAATTGGTTCATGCTTTCAGCTGTGCACTATCGAGTTATGGAGCACGTGGGAAGTTTGGAGAGCACTCAAGAAGCTAGAGTTGCCCTCGGCTATCGCCTCGGGCAACTCTTACGCTTCTTTCGTGCTCTCCAAACTTCCCGCGTGCTCCATAACTCGATAGTGCACGCTAAAGCATGAACCACTTGTTAAGTAAAGGTGAATTCTGATTGTAAATTTGATCTTTAAAGAAAATAGAAATGCGAAAATGAGTGAGTCGCGTTTTGACGATTTTAAGTTTCTTGATCAGACTCAAACATAAAGAAAGAATGGATCTTTTTTGTGGTTGCCCTTGGCTCTCGGTCATGTCGTACTGACCTCAGGGGAGCCAAATGTTTCCTCGTTCAGTACGTCCTGTCCTCTCACTCAGTCAAGTTATCAGTGTAGTTATCTCTTGCGAACATCCGCTTCTAGTACGGTTGAACTTTCTGGAGTTGTCGTTCTCGGGAAAACTCAATGGATCTGTTCTATTGATCCTTTTGTAAATTGTTTTCATTAGATTCATTGATCACCAGAATGCGAGCGGACGTGTACCTCAGTAAGCCGATTATTTCATAAATAAAATATGGCCCGCTAATTTAAATCAGTCGCCCTTACTCAAGATCGAGAGGTTCTTGGTTTCAAGATTTAAAAGTTTATTTTTTACTACTTCCCTACTGTGCACACAACCTATCAAGCCCTTAGGCTTCAAGGAAACTTCTTTCGTTAGACCTAAGATTTGACAAGAGTTTATCTAAAATAGAAACTTCGTATCCACTTCATAAATACCTTGTTTACCACACGACTAAGGTACGTACACATTATGCTAAAGATTAACCAAACTTATATTACAACACTCCAACTCGTGCAGTATTAAACTCCATAACATATAACTGTAGAAATCACACAATCCTCAGGTTTTTCTTGTATTTTATCCCGAAGTTTGATGTAGGGATATTTTTGACTGTGATTGAAACCTCAAAGCCAAAATTTCACTTAATGCACAAAATCCTGCATTCTTCAATTTTATAACCAGTGTCTATGACAATAAGCATCGTTTTACCCTACAATAATAATAATAATAATAATAATAATAATAATAATAATAATAGGAACAATGATAACAATATTAATCATAACCATTACAACTGCCTCACATGTGATTGGTGCATTAGCTACTTTATTTTTCACTAATAATTCTGAAGGGTTGTAATTGGACAGTTAAAGCAGTCTAAGATTTAGCTAAGTCCACTTAGCTAAATCCACTAATCACAGAATTGATCACAATAACTAAAGCAACAGCCCTCAGCCTAAAAACCTGGGGAATTTCCAAAATGGAGGAATTTTTTACTCAAGACACTGTCTCTACTGCAGATATTTTCCTTAAATGTATTTTTTTCGGAAATTGTAATGGTTATGATTAAACGATAACAGGACTTTGTATGGTCTCATTTTGTCTGTAATCATACTCGTGATTGAAAAATCAGAGCCTCCCTCAGCGGTTGTCCAATTTTGTTACACACTTGTATGATTACAGACTGAATTTGACTCCCCTCAGTCTTATTACCATTATTAATCAATAGTATTATGGGTTAGCTTTAAGATTATAGAATTCTCAGAAAAAATATTTGTCATCTTTTTAGCTCTAGCAGTTCTCTAGACTTATAATTTTTTCTTATTAGATCATTCCTTTCAAACCCATTACATCTCCCTTCTTCAAGAAAAAAAATATGCCACACCTTTTCACAGGTTACCTGGTAATAATAAGTTAGATTGTAAATAATAAGTTACATTGTAAATGTGTATCTATCATGTATAGCACCTCTAAGAAATTCAATCTTAATAAATAACTTGAATGAATAATAAACCAGTAAGAGAGGTACCTGTCAAAGCCATTTTGAAGAGAAGTACTAACACAGCAAAAAAAAAAAAAAAATGAAAAGCCTAAGGTAACTGAGGTATTCAAGCATGGTATAACCAATAAAAAGATTCCTGAGTGCTAAGGTAATCACTACATACATGCCTATCCATTGAGCTAACTGCCTTCCAGTTAGCTCAATGGATGGAGCGCTGGACTGCTGTGCAGGAGGTCGATGGTTCGAGCCCCGGCCGGACCAACACTCAAGGTCTTAAAATAATTGAGAAGATTATGCTACCTTTTTATAACATCAAGAAATGGATAGATATTCTAGTCTTCTCGGATAGGGATGAATAAATGGAGGTCCCATCTCCTACAGGGTTAGGGGTAGGAGACATTAATTTCCCACACACGAGATTACTGTGTGATGGATGTCCTCCCCTGGGGTGGGATGGGTGGGATTTATTGGGTGGACTACTCGCATGGTTCGCATATGTTCCGTTCTACTCCTACCCTACTGCGGTAATGCAGTGAAAATAGTTAGAGAAATGCATAGTAACACTACACATGTTTGAAATTAGATCTGACTCAGTTTAACCAATGATAATTTAATGTTCTTAACTCATGTTTAACTAGACTTTTCCCGCAGCTGTTCTATGCACGAAGTGATCAGACGAGTAGCTTTGCTCCTACTAACCAATATAATTTAATCTGCATTTCTGTGTAGCAGAAAAAAAAAATCACATGTAAATTCAATTTTCTTTAGGTTGACTGTTTTGGTTGGAATTTGCCCATCTGTTTCTCTGTTGTGGAAGATTACTGATCTTGACAAATGGAATCAAGCATAGAGAGAAATTGAGATTTGGATAGTTTCTGCCTTAACTAACAGAAACTGGTGTAAAATCATTAGGACATTACCAGACTTTTGTGTGGCTACATCAGACTGCGATTGTATACCAGACTGATGATATGAGATACCCTACATTCACTTACAAAAAAAATTATTGTACTATATTTTAATCAGTTTCAGACTAAAATTGGATCAAATTTAATTGGGTTTTCCTGCCCATTTCATGTCATCTGATCGTGGCTTCACCCCAGTTGTTTTCTCAATCAACCACTCTAAAGATCGCCAGAATCCGATCACGTCCAGAGGATAGTCTAACCAACCAGTTGTGATGCAGAAGTATGTCTCATGGGGTGAAACATGGTGAATGCGATGATGCTTCCGTGGTAAGATTATGTGCCACTCCTGAAGTTTCTGCACCCACATTGGCAAACCAAAGTAGGTGTGAGACCACTTGTGGATTTGGTTGGTTAAGGTAACATAGACAGCCAAGAAGAACACGAAACAGTCCATTCCATAGGATGCTTCAATTGTATCTTGGTCATAAGTGAGAAACTTGTAGACCATGTAAGATAAACCAGGTAAGGTTAGCATACAGTTGTCACCATTTGTTTCAATCAAATCATGTCTTGTTATGGCTGTGGGGTCCACATGATGTTCTCTGAAAGGACGAATAAAGGCTTTTCCAAAAACAGGGATGTCCACTGCTCCCCATGTATCAGCTCCCCAATGAACCAGCCCAGAAAGGAAGTCAGCAGTAACTGCCCCTGCAACTACAAAGGCATAAAAACAAATGTTGTTATTGAAGAAATCAGATGTAATTTAACAGTAGAGTTGATATGGAAAAAAAACAAAGGGGAATGAAGTTATTCTCACTTTGATGTAATAAGACAAAGATAATTTTATTCATTTCATAGGATCACATTAAGCAAGTAATTTTTACTGAAATCAGTACTAACCCTTTACACCATGACCATCATTTGGTATATTCATTTGATAAAAATAAACTGATTTTTATTGGTCTCTGTGTAGTACATACTAAAACAATTATTCACCTCAGTACTGGTGAAAGTGGAAGATATTTAATCTCACCACTTTGTGGCTCAGTAAATATCCACCACCATTCCCCTCCACTTTGGCAAATAATTGTTAAATAACAGTGATGTGTTTTTGCAAAATTTTGATTGTCAAAGCTAAGAAAGTATCATTCATTCATCATATTGAAAACAAAACCTCATTAAAATTAACTTTCAACGCACTTTAAGACACGCCTACTACAAAACTAGTTTCGTCCACAGACCTCTTCAGTTGTATGCATACAAGTGAAGAGGTCTGTGGACGAAACTAGTTTTGTAGTAGGCGTGTTTCAAAGTGCGTTGAAAGTTAATTTTAATGAGGTTTTGTTTTCAATATAACAGTGATGTGTTTACTTGAAAAATAAATGAAGGTGTTCTTTGTAAGAGGGTTGTTTACTTAACTACAACAACTTGTATGTTGTATGATAAATCAATGGTTCCACGAGAAGAGCCAAAAGGAAGGTCAGTTGAAAAATTTCAACAAACTGTAGAAGGAACAGTCAACCTGCCAGACATACAGCCACGATTACAAATCTTACGTTAGATTACTCAGCTACAGCAAACACTACTCACAGACAGTTTGACATCTTGAACCTTGACAATGCACTGAATGTATGGACCTTGTTCAAAAGATGCCTGCTATGTCTCCCGATAATCAATGACAAACATCACTGGGTAGAGTGCTATAATTTAACTTACTTACCTGCAGAAAACAAAACTGTTCTGATTTCAGCGAGTCGAAAATTCTTACACAAGTAGAAAAACACTATGCTGGAAAAAATGGCACATGATACTACACTAAAGGTCTCCAGGCGTCTTTTCCCTGAAATTCAGAGCAAAGAAACACTTTTAAAACATGTACACATGCACGTACAGGAGGACATCACTAGGAAATCGGAAAGCTCAAACAGCTCCAAAAAAAATGAATAAATTTTATCAAGGCTCCTCCTAGATAAAGCTTTGAGTCAATAGTCCATTTTACAGTTGTGTGCTTGGTTGCCAAGCCTTTGAACGGGAGTGAGGCTAGAGATGACCTTGTTATGATACAAACCTTGCTGCCTTTCAAATGTAAATCACTTTGTTATCATGCTAACTAGATATAGGTCTCTATCACAACAAGGTCATCTTTAGCCTCACTCTGAATCAAAGACTTGGCAACTAAGTACACAACTGTAAAATGGCCTATTGAAGCCTTTAACCTAACTGACAACTTTATCATACTCGATTTGCATCACTAGGTTTTATAGAATGGAGGAAGTTGCATTATAACTTAGTTATGCTCTTTCTGAATTGACGACAGTTCACTGACTTTGTTCTGAATTTTTGAACATATATATGTTCATATGCATGTACAGTAGATTACCACGAAACCGCACAGCCTAAACAGCGCACAGAACAAGTCGAATAACTTTTAGTAAGGCTCTTAACAGATGAGACTTTTAGTCAGTTCAAGTCTGTAATCTAACTGACAACTTGATCATTATTGATTTGCATCGCTAAGTTCTATATAATGGAGGAAGTTGGAATATTGTTTAACTTGCTCATGCTCACTGAATTAGCGACAGTTCAGTGATTGTACTTCTGACATATACATTACATCAATACGAAATCCCAAAGGTTAAACAGCACAGAAATCAAGAGTAACTTCTACAAAGGCTCCTTATTAATGAAGCCTCAAGTCAATCGAAACCTGAGCTATCCTATAACTACCTAACGCCAAACTGTTATGCGATAAACTAACCTTTGGTATAGCCTTCGGCCAAAATCTTCGCATTAATAACTTTGGTTGAAGCTGGTGATTTTTCTATTCCGTTTTTTAGTTCAGAATAGTCGGTAAACCCTTGATTGGGTTCATCTGTAGCATCCTGAGATATAACCATTTTAATATTGGTACATTTTATTCACCCAAAAATGAGAAAATATATATTTCACCCCTCCCAACATCTTGCAAACTATGGCGACTAGTCCCAAGTCTAAGTGTGGGGTGAGATGGGGCGACGCTCTGGTGTGACGTAGTATATGAAGTTACATCGTGCAATAATACACGACATTTGAGATGACAGCTGACACTGGCGCATTCTTGCGCCGATCCGCCGTTTATTGGAATATCCAAGCTATTTTAAAAGATCCTATACAATGAGTTGCTCGATTGCATCCCGATTTTCAGCGTTGTTAGGTGTATATGCGACAAGGACAACTTATGCAAGGCTTTCCTCGGTTCGATTTTATGCGGCAAAGAAAGGTAAGGGCCAATACCTGAATCCATATTTCAAGACAGTGTCTCATTTTTACAGAACGAAATGGTTATAGACAAATGATAACAGTCAAGATAACATGAGCTGCTTCTCCAACATGAAAGAGTCTGTAGAGAGTTAAATTAAGAAAATGAAGTTGTTTCTGTGCACAGTATAAAAGGCCTAACAGTCGATATTCTTCCTTTTAATTGCTTTGTATGATGCCCCCCTGTTAGAAAGCAGGTGCAACGAATTTCAAATGGTGGAATCAAAGAGGCCATTTTCTTGATATTATCATGGGTGGATTTAGTGGGTAGAATTTCATGGCTCCCTTTCAATGGCATGATGGTTAGATACATGTACTCAAGTGGTATGCAGTGCCTTAATAGTAAGTACATTGGGGGTTGTTTCTGGAAAGTCGTGGTAACTTAACAGGCTTGTAAAGCTGTCCTATCTTTACTCAAGATGGGGATTTCAATAGTTTTGAGAGTAATACAATAAAACTGTCAGCTAGAGTAACAAAAAAGACTGATTTGAGCCACAGAACTCACTTTTCTATCCTTTAAATTTTGATTTTAAAACATGGCTTTGGGCCCAGCACTTTTGTCAAATGCCCCCCCCCCCTGGACTCTAGGTTGAGAGGTCTAGGTTTTAGACCTGGTGTGTCATTGTCTTGTGTTCTTCAGCAAAACACTTCACTTTCACAGTGCAGCTCTCCATTAATGAGTAGAAATGAAGACAAGTGAATTGTCAGGGAAGCCTGATGAAATGTTTAGGAGTAGCCTTGCAATGAACCAGCATCCCATCCAGGGGGGGGGGGAAGGAGTGGTAATACTCCTAGTTTCTTCATGATATGGAAACTAGGATGAGCTCCAGTTGGATGGGCCACTTGCCATGAGTGCAGACTTTACCTTACATTTACCCAAGGGGTTCAGGAGGCCATGGCGATTGGAGAATTATCTGGCTATTAGGCAGAATTAACTGCTGTTTTTACTGGCTTAGAAAATCTAGTTTGTTATAGACAATCATAATCATTAAAGGTCTCGGCTATTGAATGTGCTATGACTGGTCAATTTAGCAGGCCATATTTTACTATGTCGGGAATTTGGTTTGCCTCGACAAAGGAAACTCACATTGTTTTTTGTATACTCAGTTTTTAATAACCTTTCTCTCTTACAACCACTCGTACTTTTTTCTCACGAAACAACTTGTACTTTTTCGACAGTTCAAAGTTCCTTTTTATCACGCGCGCGGTGCATGTGATTGTCAAACGCAACGACAACTTATGTCACGCACAATTTCCGGTCACGACACTCTCCCCCTATTTGATTCCAAATGCTTTAGCCCTTTGTCGTCGCTCCGACGAAGGGCTAACGCGCGAAACATCAGCTTTTGTAATCGTTACGGTGGCCAATTTACCATTTCAACTTTGTTGATATATCTAGACTTTTTGTGGCCTTCCTCTTCTGGCTATGAATCGCTTGAAACCCTTCATGAATTCTTCAGTGGTTCAGTTGCTTAGCAACTCGAAATGGATAGCTCTGGTCAGACTACAGGCAAATAACAAGATATAGGCTTTACCATCTCTCTTCTTGTTGCATCCGTATAGTATTGGGCCAGCATAGTCCAGGCCCAGCACTTGGAAAGGAATTGACCCCATGGTACGATCAATTGGCAGGTTTCCAGGTGGTGGACTTCCAAAGGCCTTTGTTTGGAACTTCTTGCATCCGAAACAACCATTGATGACCTTCTTGGTCAGCTGTCTTAGTCGGGGTATCCAATAGTCACTTCTGATCAATGCCATTGTGAGGCCAACTCCTCCATGTAACGTCAGCATGTGCGCATCTTGAACCAACTTCTCTGACAACACTGCCCTGGGTGGTAGATAGATTGGGTAGTTTCCTTGTATTCTGCTGTGGCACGCGTACAACCCATCACTGTTCTTTTGCAGGTTAAGGGTCAGTTTGTCTTTTTCGAACTTTTCTGTTCCACTTGAGTTTTCTTGTGCTCTTTGAACCCACCAACGGACTTCCTTATCAGTTTTGAATGTGGTCAAAGGGCCATTGAGTATCACTGATTTTTTCTCCTTGCAATTGTTCAAGAATCTCCTAATCTACATAGTGATTTGCACCATTTTCCAGAAGCTATTCTTCTCTAAGACCTCGTCAAGGTTGTCCTTGGTCTCTGTAATGGCGGCAAAGATCTCTCTCGTAAGTTTGGCTTCCGCCTCAGTTTCTTTGTTCGGTTCTGTAAGTATGTCGCCCAGCCAAAGATCAGGTTCTGTCAACCATTCTGGCCCTTTGAACCATAACCCACCCAGGTTGTCGGCTTGGCAACCTCTGCTGCCAATATCAGCAGGATTCTGGTCAGTACCTACGTGTCTCCATTGAATGTAGGCCTTATCTCTTATCTTGTTCACTCGGTTCGCCACAAACTGTTTGTAGGCACTGCCTTCTCCTCTGATCCAATGTAGGGCCACAATGCTATCCAGCCATCCATGGACTGATGTAACTGGCTGACCTTCTAGGGCATTCTTCACATTTTCCACAAGGTTCGCTGCCATATGTGCAGATACAAGTTCCAGTCTCGGAATGATCAAACCCTTTTTCGCCAGGTGTGACTTTGTGGCCAGTAAACATGGCAGCTGATGTTCCGGTCCCACTTGTGTCTCCAAACATGTGTAAATCAATCGCTTCAACAGCTTCCTTAAAGCCTGCCAAACTGTGTGGGACTTGAACTTGGTCTGGAAGGCTCCCCTCAAATTTCTTCCACCCTTTTGCAACTGTCTCAGGTACTTTCTGGTCCCATGGTAGATGCTGGTTACAGACTTCTCGATACAATAGTTTCCCCACAAGTGATACCGGTGAGGCTAGACCAAGTGGGTCATAAACTGAAGCAAGGAACTGCAACATCTCTCTCTTAGATACTTCTGGGGAGGCCTCTTGAAAGGTGACAGTGATGGTGTCTTCGGTTTTGTTCCATGGTAGCCCCAACATCTTGGTATCCAGGTTTGACTCCAAGTTATTTTTTGGCATAGCTTTGTTTTCCGTCTTCTGGCTCAGCGTCTGCTTCTAATTCTGGTTCATTCGAATGCCATGTGTGTAGCTCAAACTCTGCTTCTCCAAATACTGCAATGGCCGATTCTACCCAATGGATCTGAGGACACTCTCTCTATGATTCCTTTCGCCAACTGGTCTTGAATGACTTCATCATACCAATCCAGATGGTTGGGTTCCTTCTGCAGTTTCTTGAGGAGACTCTCCAGTCTTCTGAGACTTCCCTGTTTGTTGTTGTTGAGGATATCATGACCATGTTTCTATAGTAACCCTGTTTCATACCATCCTTCATCACTACGTCTCAATTGCTCCTTAAAATTATCGTATACTGCTTGCTGATCCCCAACTGGTCTGTCCTGAAGACCTAACACATTTAAGCTGCATAGCTGCTCGTAATTGGTGGATGAGGTTCTGGTGAGATAAATGCTCCCCATGTGTGCTTCCTTTCCGGCTGACATCATTGTCCATCAGTGAAGTTAGCTCAGCAACTGGTTCCCCAGCCTTTCCAATCTGTGGTTTTGTGTCAGCTAGTCTTTATTCTGGAGTACTTGCTTTCTCCCAGTATCAAATGGATGGGTAACTCTGGTTTCTTGTCATCATTCATGAATATTCCCTTCAGGTGGGGGTACTGGTGAATCTTGTCGGCATATCTTGGGTTAGGAGTGGTCAGCAGAATGCTTCTATCTACCCTACTGACTGATGCGACCATGTTAAAATCTCCCACAATACTTGAAATTTTGACATCATACTGATAAATCTTCTGGTTAGTCGAACACGTCATTGTGTCAATTCTCTTCTGCTCCATCCTTGACAGTTGTTTTCCAATTTCCTTGATAAGGGCAGCTGAGGCATAAGAACTTCCGGCCCCCGTGTCCAGTAATGCCCGGCATTTTATACCATCTACATCAACGACTATGACGGGGTAAATGACTGCTCCTTTGCCAGTGGCTAGCAACATCTGTTGGGAATCCCTATCACAGATTGATGTATGGTGTCTCCCGTTACATTTTTGACGACTTTTAACAATCAGATAGTCTGCAGCCCCGTGTCTGGTACCAGTAGAGTTGAAACACAACCTTCTCTCACTGAGGTACTTTTTCGGTTGTGCTACACCCACTACCTTGTCACAGTCAACTGATTTGTGCACGCACGATTGACAGTGCACGCATGGTCATGTTTTCCATTCTTCTTGCCTCGAGTTAAATACCCTGTCTTGTGACCTGGAGAATTTAGGTAATGGTTTGAATGGTGGTTTCCCTGATGGTGGTTTCTCATGGTTAGGATCTTCATCAAGCTTCGATGGGTTCCTCATGGTCCACTTTCGCAACACCTCGACAAGCTGGTTGAATTTCCATTCTTGCCAATTGTCATTGGTTCTCACTAAATCTCCTCTAATTCCTTCTAATTTGTTCAGTGTCATCCTTACATAACCATTCACTTCCCGGAGTTTGCCCATTGTTTCAAGTGCTTGAATGGATGAGCATAATTTTTCATAAAACTGCGATACTTTGTTTGGGTTTACTCCATAAATCACGGGAATTGACATGATGCTACTCACATAAGCATTTACTATCTCGCTCTCCTTTCCAAATTTCGTTTTAGGAATATTTTTCGCTCGTTCGTAGCCTTCGGTGGCGAATAGAAGACCATCTATTGTCGATCAAACTTGAGGCTCCAAAAGTTCCTTAAGGTAGGAAAACTTTGTTATTTATGAAACATTTGCTGTGTCAACTTCCGCTGTGAATTGGCCCCAAAACTGCAGCCAGTCGGCAGGTGTACCTTTGAACTTGGTGATGACAAGTTTTGGTAGCTTGGCGTTGATGTCTTGCTCGTTTTTCTCTTTGTTTTTCTTCTCAAATTTTAGCTTTTGCTCCAGTTTAGCTTTTTCGAATAGCATCTCCTCGTTAAACCTTTTTTCCCTGAGCTGTGCGTCGTGTTCCTCTTTCTCTTTCTCTTCGGCTTGCGTTTCGACATGTTTGCATTCCTTGATCATTACATCGAGCTGGTCGATTAACTCCTCAATAGCGTACACACTATCTTCAATTTCTTTACCCTTTTGTAAGATTTCATGCTCCTCTTTTTCTGTCTCAAACATCAGCTCTTGAATTTCAATTTCAGGTCATGGACTTCTTCCACTTTCTTCTTCAATGCGCTTTGTAGTTTTTCCATTGATAGGACTGCTTTATCCCTGATCACGGTGATTGCTTGTGATTGTGTAAGCTTGAGGGTTTGCAGTTTTGCATTCACCACTTTCCTCAGTTGATTGATCGTTTTCACCATCCTTGTTCTGTCCTGGCAGGGTTGCCACTCTTGTGTTGGGAATTTGGTTGGCCTCGACAAAGGAAACTCCCAATGTTTTTTGTATACTCAGTTTTTAATAACCTTTCTCTCTTACAACCACTCGTACTTTTTTCTCACTGAACAACTTGTACTTTTTCGACAGTTCAAAGTTCCTTTTTATCACACCCGCGGTGCACGTGATTGTCAAAGGCAATGACAACTTATGTCACGCACAATTTCCAGTCGTGACATCTGTATGGCCCTCTAAACTCAAAAGTTTGTTTGAATTGAAATCTTCTATTCCACCCAGTGATATACTGAATTTCTTGCCAACCTCATTTTCTTTGCTCCTTATGTAAGTTATGAAACCTTGTCCACTTGGATTGATGGCCTACTTGCTTTGTGCTTGGACCACAAATCTGAGTGGAAAAAACCTTGGTCTGACACTTGTAATATCCCGCCCAGATGGTTCAGATTTAACCACTAACACTTGGATTAAATCAACACACATTAACTCAACAGTTTGATGGCGGACAATGTGTTATAACAACAACCCTCGCACGCTTGTGCCAATGGGTAATACACTACAATCCTTCCCTTGTTTAAAATAGATCCTTGACCAAAATCTAGTGTGAAAATTGTTCTCATACATTGGGAGATTTTACAAACTAAAACTGTTCTGGTTGACAATGGTCTTTCTTAAAAACAATCACTAGAACAGGAACAACAAAGTGAAATGTTCATAGTCCTCACTGGGCTAATCCTTCAGGCATAACATTACTGAGTCCTCAATCACTCTTGTCTGATGAAAGTTCTGTTGTTAAGATATAACAACGTCCTTAAACCGTGCTGGTAATGTTCTAGACCTGATAGGTCTGGATGCAGTGTCCTTGATAGAGTCGGGTTCTGCCGCACTCCCTACCATCGTCTGTGTATGAATTTCTCCCGAATGTTCATCACTTTCATTTACACTTGGTTGTGTTTGATGTTCAGTAGAACTGTTCGAGACAGGAGGTGATAAAGACATCTTGCATTCAGGCACATTACTCCGCTCAAGGAATTTCTTTACATGGGTAGAGTTTCTCTTATATTGGACACCATCGGGTGTTTCTACCACTACGCTGTTGCCTAACTTGTCCAGTACACGGTATGGTTCTGGCCTGAAAGTTGGCTTCAACTTGTTTTTCCGTTCCTGTCTTAATAATCCGTGTCACCTTCTTTCACATCACTTTCGCAGGCACAGCGTTTCTCATCAGCATACAGCTTTCCTTTCTCCTTGGCTTCACTGTCTATCATGTACTTCTTGGTCATCCACTGGGAATTCTTCAATCCCTGGTATACAGGTTCGCAGCTTTTTGTGGAACAGGAGTTCTGCAGGGCTTACTCCAGTTGTGCTGTGTGGAGTCGTTCTGTACATTATTAGGAAAGAACGAAGTTCTTCTTTCCAATTTCTCTTCTCTATTTGTGCAATCTTTATCCTCTTCAGTAGGGAGCGGTTCTGCCTTTCTACTTCTCCCTTGGCCTGAGGCCAAAGCAGAGTCACTCGTGTGTGTTCAATACGTTCTTCTTCAACAAATTTACAGAATTCTTCACTTCTGAACTGCAGTCCATTGTTAGTAGTGATACTAATGGGCAGTCCATGGGTAAGGAAAATCTTCTTCAGACTTGCAATGACCTTGTCAGCAGTTGTAGACCTCAGGACTTCTACTTCCATATAGCGACTGTAGTAGTCTACAACTACAAGGAGATGGTCTCCTGACGGCAGAGATGGTGTCATAAGGTCTGCTGAAATGTGTTGCCATGGACCTGAGGGCAGTTCAGTCCTCTTGAGGGGTTCTGGTGGCTGAGGCTTACTGACCATCTGGCAGGGATGACAGGTCTTACAAAACATTTCTGCATCCTTGTCACACCCTGGCCACCAGACTTTGGTATGAAGTCTGCACTTTATGGACACTATTCCTGGATGACCCTCATGTGCAAGATGCAGGACTTGGTCGCATAAACTAGAAGGGATGATGATCCATGTTCCTTACAGTGCTAATTTTCCTATAATGGAAAGTTAATTTCTGACGAGCAGGCATTGCTTTTTCTCAAGTTTGTGCCACGTTTCCTTTTGCCAGAATCCGATCACCTGGAGAGTTTGATTGATTCTAGAAATACTAGACAACGTGATCAACTGAACATTCGAAGGTGCTGCCTAACCTCTGGTCAAGGGTCCTTCGCCTACCGCGGTGCAAAGCTCTGGAATGATCTAAGAGACAATGTTAAATCTTCAGAATTGATCAAACTTTTTAGGAACAAAATTGTTAACCTACTTTTCTCTGATCAATCTATGAATTGGTAATTAGTATTTAATCCATTGTATTTCACCTATTTTTAACGTTATTTATTATATTAGTTATTTGGTAATTTATTTAGTTATTTTAGCTATTTAGTAGCCTTGTGACTGAAAAACCTTCTTTAGGGAGTTACAATAATGTCATCATGTATGTTTCTCACACCATCACAGCCTTCTAAGACTTGCTGCGTTACTCTCCGATACATTTCAGGTGCACAGCTAACTCCAAACATCAGTCTTTTGTACCTGAAAAGTCCTTTGTGAGTCGCAAACGTGGTAATCGATCTGGAAGCCTCACTCAATTCTACTTGATGAAATGCCCACTTGATGTCAAGTTTGCTAAAAACAGTACTTCCATTCAGGTCACGAAAGACTTCGTCGACTGTTGGGATGGGGTGTCGTTCCCGTGCAATAGCACCATTATAATCTAAATATATCAACAAAGTTGAAATGGTAAAGTGGCCACCATTATGATTATAAAAGCTGATGTTTCGAGTGTTAGCCCTTTGTCATTCGCTCCAACGAAGGGCTAATGCTCGAAACGTCAGCTTTTATAATCGTAACGGTGGCCAATTTACCATTTCAACTTTGTTGATATATTTAAATTATTTCGATACCCCCACCGACGCAGCCCAAAACAGTTTCTTTAGAAACTATCAGCCTTTATTCAATAGCACCATTAGCCTGCCTTTGTCGACACAGAGGCGGATGTCGCCATTCGGTTTAGGCACAACAACTACAGGTGGAATCTAGGGTGTTGGGCCCTCTGCTCTCTCAATTACATCAAGACTTACAAGCTCATTAAGTTTCTGTTCTAACTTGTCCCTTATACTGAATGGCACACGATGCATAGGTTGGGCCACTGGCTTAACATTCTGATCGATGGGAATATCCAGCTGAAAATCCTTCAATTTTCCCAGCCCCTCAAAACGTGATTTGTACTTGTCAAAGATTTCTTCCTGTCTCAAAAGATTAACTCTAACCTCCTCTCCAAGGTACAAGACATTCAGTTGTGTAGCTGTTTCTCTTCCAAGTAATGCTTGGCCTCTTCCTTCAATAACAGTAAACTCTGCTTCTACAGTGAAATTTTGTACAGTTACTGTTGCAACAAAACAACCCGCTGTTTTCAATGGTTCGGCACTTCCTTATTGGTACAGTTTCTTAATGGATTTCATAGATACACACTTCACTTTATTCTGCTTTAATTCTTCCCACAACTTGCAGTCAATCACATTACAGCTGCCTTTTCATTTTGACTCCACCTGATCTTTTCCAACACTCGGTTTCACCTGATTCTACTGTAATTACAGCAAGTCAGCACATACGTTCAGCTAATTTGACTACCCCATAATTAACTCAGGAAGATATTGCCTTTTCTGTTTCTCCATAGGAAAAAAGGCAAGGTCAGCTGCTGTTTCAATTGACCATGATATAGCAGATGGGTTAGTTGATTTGGAGAAATTGAAATCAAATATGGCGAGTACAGTGACAAGACTTCAACTTGAGTTCAGAGACAAAATAACTGTTGAAATTAAACCTGGTAAGTCCAAGCTTAATTGTTTATTCACTATTCACTGTGACTGACAAATACTATTTTCATTCTTTGACCCTTGAACTCCCAGAAGTGATTAACATGTAACTTCTCCCCATAATATCCATATATGATCCAGCAAACAGGTAGTGAGAAAATCAGGTACGTGTAGAAGTTGTTGGCTTGATCTAACACCAAATTCACATTACTACTTTTTACAAGAAAATAGGTAGCAGCTAGAGGAGAGAATTAACAAGCAGATGTTAGGAGTGAAAGGGTTAATATTGTACAGCTATTGTACCCTTTCATTATACACCGAATGCAAATGTGGCGTCCAATTTGAGTTGCCATTGTTCTGGACTCACTAGCCTCTCACACATGTAATAATCTTTTTGTGTTTCCGTGTGAAGACAAGGCTAGTGAGTCCAGAACAATGGCAGTTCAAATTGGATGCCATATTTGCATTCAGTGCATACCCTTTGATTATGAGCTGGAAGGAATATTTGAAAGAAGCAAATGATGAGGCAGTATTGCTAATATTTGTCTTTCAATCTTGCTCTGCTAAACCCTTTTAATTTTCAATCTAGCTAGGGCTCGACACTAACAGTAGCTAACTTGCCACAGACTAGTAGAAGTTCAGTTTTGGCTAGTGGTTTTTTTATTTCCACTAGCCAGTTTGGCTAGTAAACAAACTGAAATTGTTGTAACATCTAAGCTGTCACCAGCCACTTGGCCAGTAAGTTGGAAAGTTATTCCCCTGCTAGCATTCTTGTATACCTGCCTGGTTTTCACAGTAGGTAAGAGTCTTATGTCTGCTCATTAGAAACACCAAAGTTTAGTCAATACTACTCTGGAAACAAATTGATATCTCAGTGAGATCACGTGCTGGAGCTTTACTCTTTTTGTAGATATACTTCACCAAGTAAAAGTGGAATCTGCAAATGGAAAAGAAAAGTTTGTGCTTGGTGACATAGCACAAATCAAACTTAGTAAAAGCATGTTTGTCGTGGACTTAAGTAGGTCACCAGAGGTAAGGGAAATTAAATAAATCTTAAGACACTTTATCTTTCAATCACAATGGGTTAGTTTCTTTAAACCTTGTCATGAGGAAAGGGGAGAAATCCATTACTACTGGTAGGTCACAAACTATTGATTTTCGGTTAGTAGTCTTGAAACAAAAATTGGCATTTTCAACATTTTAGATTGGGCTATCACCACATTTCAAAAAATAGATAGGTGAATCTGTTTTTTCACCCCCCTCCCCCTCCCCCTCCCCCTGCAAAATATAAAAGAAAACTCCCTATCAACAGCAACATTTTTTTTTATTTTTACAATATTTATAAGCTGAAAATGGAAGTTTGCATGCATTTCCTGCAAGTTTAAGGTCACTGTCACCAAACACAAATGGGCTCCTGGCTAAACAGAATTACTTACTACCAGTAAGAAAGCGTCCAGATGCGTTTTTAATCTTTCATCCATTTAACTTTGTTTTTTTCCCCCGAACCCATAAACAGTTCGCGGGTGAAAAACATTCCAAGCTTCTCGGCCTACCCACCAGGACATCCGCCAGACAGGCGCCAGAAACCGTGATAAGATCAATTAGCTGCAGTTTTGAACTCAGACTTCAAATGCGAGCGGAAAAAAATGATAAAACGCTTAAATTAGCGTCCGATTTGTTTTCCTTCTCTTCTTTTTGTAATACCATAAAACATGCTAATGTGGTTGTCATTCAAGAAAATACAGCTTTCATTCACGGTTCAATTTATCAGGCCACAATGAACTCCTGAACACGATAAACAAATGACGGTAATTAGATTATCTATATTACATACTTTGCACGCAGTTAAATTTTTCGTAAACCTCTTACGTCCTAGCACCATCATCCCAAAGCGAGTTGAGTGCCATGACCAACGAGTCGCATCCGATCTTTTGATAATTATTTAATTTTGAAATTGAGGGAAAAAGTTCATACAAGCCCATCAAAATGAATTTTAATTTAGTTTTCAAAGAATCTTTCTTTAATTATTTAAATTTACGGAAAATGTAGCCGACTTCTCTGAGCGAAGTAGCCGACGCATTTCGTCGGCCGTCGGTGCTTAGTGAAAGCACTGCTCTCAATATAGAAAAAACTAGTTTTGTAATTTTTCATCCTCCTCAAGGGAAAGTAACATTCAACTTCAACATAACTTTAAATGGGAAACAGTTGCAACAGGATTCCTGTATTAAATACTTAGGAATTTTTATTGATACAAATTTGTTCCGGAAACCTCAAATCGTGTGTATTTGTAAAGAAAATTAAAAGAATAAGAAGTGTAGGGGTCTTGTCTAAGCTTCGCCATTATGTTGAATAAATATTGATATTCTTACTAATGTCCACTACTCTTAAATCCACCCATTTCTGATTTATGGTATAATTATCTGAGGTAATACATATTCAAGTACACTTCAGCCTTTATACATTTTACAGAAAAAAGCAATGCAAATCATGACTTTTTCCTCATTTGATTAACATTCAACACCGCTGTTTAGATTGTTGGCAATTATGAAACTCTCTGATCTTGTTACATTTCATATTGCACTTTTTATGCATAAATTTCATAACAAGTTATTACCTTCCTATTTTGATAGCTTCTTTAATTCAGCACTTAGTATCCACAACTACAATACACGAAGTGCAGTTAATTAATCTTATTACCAGCCTCGAGCTAGAACAAACTATGGAATTTTTAATATTTGCTTTCAAGGACCAAAGGTGTGGAACTCTCCAGGGAAAGATATAAAGTCAACCCCTTTCAGTAAATTAAAAAAAAATTTAAACATGAATTACTGTGCCAGTATTAATGTCACCCTGGTGTTTTGCTTTCCCCAGAGTAATCAGTTTCTTCCTAGCTATTCCTGTGATTTATTTGTTGCTCTACGCTTTTTTCTTTTATCATAATTGTTCAGGATTTCATTTCTAATATATACATATATATAATATTTTTTCTATGACTTGTAAATTTCGTTTATTCATAATTATTTAGGGTTCAGTTCTGTGTGTGTGTGTGTGTGTGTGTGTGTACATGTGTGTGTGTGTGTGTGTGTACATGTGTGTGTGTCCCAACCCTAATATTCTAATTTATTCTAATGTAATTTGGCTTCCTAGCCTTATTAACCTTCTAGTTATTTTAGGAAGCCAACACCCTCTTAGTTTTAATTTTTGTATTTGATGTTAATTTAATCTTCTCAAGAATAAGGGTGAATAAAGTTGTTGTTGTTGTTGTACAATAATTTTATAAATGGCAAGGGGGCCTCCAGAAACCACTGGGCTCATAGGAGTTAAGAAACCACACAAGATGTTTATATTTTGTCCCTTTGCCTCCATGCCAGTTGTTTGTGTTTTGTAGACTTTTGTTGGAGTATTGATAGGGTATTCACATTAGATAATTCTCCTTTAGCTTGTACCTCAAGCTGCTGAAGCAATCAAAACATGGAATACAGATTTTGAGCCCATCATGTCTGGTCATGTGATATCTGTATCCATTCCAAAGTAAGGCTTTTTTGAGCTGTACAATACTCCTTTCATTTTTTACAGAAATTCCTTTATTGTTTTCCTTTGACAGGAACCTCAATCAAAAGCTATGTAGACTACTTCAAGCTTGGACTGAAAGATACCATTACTCCCAACTTCCCCCCCCCCCCTGCCCTTGAAAAAAGAAAAAAAGCAGTAATTGATCCAGTCCTGAAGGAGCATCTGGGTTGTCAGGGAAGCCTGAGAAAATGCAGTGTGGGAGGGGGTGGGGGGTAGCTGTGATGAACTGGCATTCCATTTGTGGAAATTGCAATAGTCCCAGTCCCTTCATGAATCAGAGACAGGGATAAACACTTACTGGATGAGCCATTTAGCTTGGGTGCTGACTTTCCATCACCTTTTTTGTTATGATAAGATATAGAAAATGAGTACCACTTTTTTCCTCTGCAGAGTCACTCAGGAATACCGTGAAAACTTGGTCAAAATGGCAAAGTCAACAAGTGAACAATACAAACAAAGCATTCGAAAAATAAGACAGAAAGGAATGACTGACATTAGGAAAAATAAGAAAGGAAAATCAGAAGATGATGCAAGAATGGTGGAGAAAATGGTATGAACAAGCGTGAATTTGATTCCTCTTTGGCAAGGGGAATCCACATACTGGAAAAGTTACATGACTGTAATGTTTGTTATTTAATGATGATTTCAAAAATTTTATGCTTAATTTTCAACAGATTCAACAACTTACAGACCAGTTTTGTGGGGACACAGATTTGCTCTTAGAGGAAAAAACTAATGAACTTTTAAGAAAGTGACTGTGAATCAATAGAATTTTTTATGGAATAAAATATCAAACAAAACACCATCATTGTATCTGACTTGTCATTCTTACCTCAAGTGTAAGTGCATCATGTGACATTGAATGGAACTAACTGCAACAATAGAAGGCTGTTTTGTAACGGATGCAGGCTGTGTTCACAGAACAAGGGGAGGGGAAGCGATTTGTTTGCAGACAATACTATGCCTTAGACATTTAAGTGTGATCTTAAAATCTTAGAAACACTGATGAGGAACAAAGTATTTTTTCTTGTGGTCTTAATATCCCACTCTCAGTTTTTGCTTCAGGGATTTTTTTTATCTTCAGAAATTTGAGCCAGTTTGGGTCCTTACTGGATAAATGATGCTGTACAAATTAGTGTCGTCTGCCCTTTGACCAATTAATATTGGGAAACAGTGTTTCAAGATAAAAACTTTGCAGTTGCTCAGATACCCAAACTTTCATTGGATGGAAGGTTTCTGGCCATATATCTTGAGGAGGGGAAGAACTGCCTTGAGAATAAATATTTCAAACGCTTGTGACAAGGTTTTAGATTTGACTAAATAAGTGATTGTTGTCAATATGGAATTCACTGAAGTGTCAAAATCCCAAGGCAAACATTTCTACCTTCTGAACGCCCTTAATAGGCGGTACTATGCAACTATTTCCTGGGGGTTTGCGTCCTCAGTTCCCAGTTCTAGAATCGTTAAGTCGTTCTTTGACGATTTCGTTTGCAATGTCGTCCGTCGGTGATAGCTCATTTGGAGTTCGGCATGCGTAAGTTGAGGTCGTGGCCTTGTTAGCCGGACCGACTTTTAGGTAGGAAAAAATCGGCAACACAAGGCTGCAAGCAAATAAACTGACAAGACATTTTTGCAGAAATTTTATTCGAAATATTAAGATTCTACAGCTTTTTTATGCTCAGTGATATGTCATGTCGACTGCAGTTCAGCTCCTTAATGCAAACCCACTACTGTCAAAATGAGAAGAAAAGTTTCATAGTGAGGAAACACCTGTCTAAAGGGTAAGTGGAAGACTTTCTAATTTTCTCGACACGATAGCGCACAAAGTCAGTATATTTCAAAATCATAAGCTTAATTTGAAGTGGTTATTTCAATTGCTCACCACGCTGCAGTTGAGCAATCAGCATTTTTACTTTTTAAAAACCTTCGTCAAAGTTACATTTAACAATTATTCACCGAAGACGAGGTGAATATCGTCGAATAATCCCCGAGACGAAGTCGAGGGGATTATTCGACAATATTCACCGAACCTGAGGCGAATAATTGTTTTAGTATAATTTCAGAGCGGAAGAACAGAGAAATTTCTAAAATCATAACATTTTAGTAACATTTATTAACTTTTTATTTTAACATTTTATATAAACCATGTGGAGCGGTTTATATAGCGTCATATAAGGAACCGCTCGACCAATCAGATTTCTGAAAACTCTTTGCTCAGCTCTGAAATTATACTAAATATATATATTTATCAGCTTTATACTCAAGTTGATGTGTAGCATCGCTGACTTTCTGCGAGTTCTCCGGTATTTTGATAAGTCTACAGACGTAGTAAAAACGAGTAAAAATTAGTAAACTTGCAAAATGTTTGGAAAGGAGAAAAAAGTTGGATTACCCTTTCAAGCCATCAAATACGTTATGTTATTGTTTTTGTTTTAACTAACTCTTGCAGGAATGTTTTAGATTGGCATTTTCACAAGTTTTTCGTAAAGTCGCCTAATGTATTTTAGCGCTGAAGAAGGGCTAACGCTCGAAACGTCAGCTTTGGAAAATCTCTGTGGTAGCCAATTTACCGTAAGTTTATCAACTCAGTTGATCGACCAAATTATCCTGTAATACCCCCAACCGAAGCAGCACCACAATTTCGTTGGAAATTTACCCCATTTATAAATATATTTCACAACGTCTGGGAATGTTCCTAAATGTCTCAAGAAATCCTTTGATAATGAAATCTTTCCGATTTGAAAATACACCTAGTTTGAATTATTGTAGCAGCAATTCTTACTTTTCGGAAATGAAGTATGCGAGGGACCGCTGAACTGGATTTATATGTTAAAGCACGGAGAGTCTAAGAGAATCTATTTTTTTTTCTTCACGGAAATAACAAGAAAAACCACATCATTCAGCCAAAATAGCTGGTGTGAATTTTCTAAATATCTCATGAATACTTTCGAAATGCCTCCAAAACTTCCGGATTAACCGAAAGTAATAACAAATCAGAGCAAAAATAATTTAGCGGTAGAGGTTTATGAAAAATTTGTTTGTTTTTCATTTTTCTATCTCACAAAGCCTTAGGCCTTATAAGTTCTCCTTATTGGTTTCGGAATTTCATTTAACACAAAGACTTTCAAAATCATATATTACCCACTTGTTCAAATATTTTGCTAAATTTCTTCACGATACAGATAATGAAGATTTTCGTCATCGTTCTCGCTTCTCTCAGCTCCTCGGTAACTTTTATTTGGGAAAAACAACACTAGAACACGTAATGGATGTAAGAATTATGTTCAGTCAATCTACCAGACTCCAACTCCAACACATTGTAAGGTGATGCTCAGCGGAGTATGTTGGCGAAAAACGATTGACTGCATCCGAATATTTTTATTATTAGAACTTCCGTTTTATCTAACTTAGGAATTTCGTCGCGTCAGTTCGTGAGTACAGTACTTATCTTACCAAGATTGAAATATCTGGTGTCTTACGCATATATCTCAGTGAAGTAGCAGACAGCTAGAAACAATTATTTGGTGCATTTTTGTTAGCAGTGTCGCCTTAGAGTCACGGTAGCAAGTGTGGTGAATTCTTTTGAGAGTTCATTGTATAAAAATACCCTCTTGCTAGGTAAAATCAAATCACAAATCGCTCTAATATGATCGGCTCGCTTAATCAGTAGTATTTCGCTTGAAAAACTTGGACAATACTATACACTTCCTTAAAGTATTTTTATAAGCAGCAATGTATAATTTATGAACGTAAAACGTTCTCGCCATGCGATACTGATTGCCAAAAGGCTAAAATATTAGTGTTTATCGTTCAAGCTTTATATCAATCCCTTTTGGATTCTCATTTCTTTAAGGTTTGTTTAAATTTTTTTTCGTGGCTAATCATGTACATGATTGATTCCTTTGAGTGCCGGACTGATCTCGTTCGAATTATGATATCCTTACAGGTACATCACACTCCTCTGAATTAATTTTGATATTGTCCTTGGCGCTCTGTGTGAATTGATAACCACGAGGAGTTAGTATTCATTACTTCTGCACGCGACTTTCAATTGAGGCCGTTTTACAATTTTTAAGCTCATCATTATGGGACCCAAGAACGATGAACTCGAAAGATGAGTCGGGTAAAACGTCACTGATCACGATTTCAATGGATTCTTACGTCCAAGTGTATTTTGTCTTGTTAATCTAGTCTAGTCACCCATCCCTGCTGGTTATATTATAAAAGGCTGTTTAATTATGCAGATTCGGTTTCTTTTAGACGACTACTGTTTTCATAAATTCTAATTTTGCTGGATCTCAGCAAGGGAGTTTACTTCCCACCGCCATCAATTCTTAGAAAACTGTTTCTGCACCTTGGAAACAATTGTACTTGTCTTCAGCCGTAGTAAAGCACTCATGTTGTTCCGCGGTGCAATAGCAGTTCCAGTCGTTGTAAGCTGGTCTTTTCATTCCGTGTCAATTTATTTTCTTAAATTTAACGTGACCATTATTTGCAAATGATTAAAAATTAATTTGTGCTATCTAATTGAGTTTCATAAGCCTGCTACCACAATATCCGTAATTTCTAAACTTTGCCTTGGTGTGAAGCCACAGAAAGCGATAAATTGAAGGAAAAAGGAAACTTCACTTCCGAGGCAGTGATTGGAAATTTCTCAAACAGAACTCGGTAACGTCAGTAACAGAAAATCATCCACGGTAAAGAAAAAAAAAACAAAAACAAAAACAAAAGGGAAAATATAATGAATAGTTAAAACATGATAGGATTTGGCACGACTTTTACTCGGCATAAAAAAGGAAGTCGCTCTCAGGCGACAAACGGCTGTAGCAGTGTGGAACTCGATTGCGCAAACGGCCTGATCTAAACGGTTTCCTCGATTAAATTTTTGAAAGGCTTTGAAAATGTGAATCTCGTCTATATTCTCGCACGAAGTGCCGTTTTCAACCATAAAAGAAAAAGAGCATGGAGATATTTTCCCAAGTCATATTTGACACAAGAGCTGGCTACCTCTTCAGCAGATTAGAGACTTCACTGTACCCGTTTAAAAATTCCTGTTACCGGCGGCACATCAGAGGATCTGTACAGTACCATTACGACTTATACGAATGAGTTCAAGCGAGGGCGTAATTCTAGTGACAACTAAAAGCACAGGCTGTGAATCACTCATGCTTGCCTTAGACGCTTTGTTTCCGGAGTTTTCTATCTATTGTTTACGGGACCACCTCAACAATTGCTTGAGCTTTGTTTATGATCGTTAAATCTCTCTCCTATGTTATAGCGTGGGAAAAATGCAGTGAATGGTGTTTTGCTCGCTGAAGTGTTAGAGAAAGAAGTTGGATATTTTATTAGCTCGGGATATGAATTCAGAGGTTGTCTCAAAGCCAGAACACTGTTCATAGGTTTGGCTCGGAGAAATGTGGGGAATGTTAAAAAAGACTGCTCTTTGCGTAAGATAAACACGTTCATTAATGAATTCCCAGTTGTCTATAAAGGTGAAAGCGATTGGTTGCCTTAGTCGGAAGTGGGTAGGGCTGGATATACAACGTAGCATTTCAAGTACTCACCAGAAAAGAAAAAAAATTTTGTCAGTTGCTTGAAATCTGTTGATTGTTTTACACGGTTACATAGTACCCTAGCTTTGTTTTCGACCTATGAACTCATGCATCGATAGATCAGGATTATAAGCATTAAAATCAGCTTGAATTCTCGCCACAATACGAACTTTGAAGCGTTATTTCGTATACCCCGCTAACATTCTTGCTTCGTGACTGTGTTGTTAATTCGGTATGATGATTGACGTCCCTTTCATCAAGCCGCTCTGATTGGTTAGTACAGCGAACATCGCATTGTTCACTCGCGTCGAAACCGAACAACTGCTATTTTGCGGTCGTTTGACAAATAGTTTTTCGTTCCTTGCGAACAAATGATACAGATTCTTGCTGAAACGTCTGGAGATTCTGGTTTTTCTAATGTTTTGGTATCGATAATTACATTTGAAAGGGTCAAGAAATCAAGGATAGAGTTGTAGTCCGCAAATATCGAGACGCTGGAGTTGCAGTTGCTAAACATGCGAGACATCAGCGTGATCGTTTATTCTATTTTATGTTACTTCTGTTTATTACATACGGCTATTGGACAGGGCTTCGACGTTACAGTTAATCTAGAAGAAGGCAAGGACGCTGGACAGCCAGTACACACATTCCCTTTACCTGCGAGTAATGAAGTTTACACCTTTTTCCCGGCGCAAGATGCCGATTCGAAGGCTGCTTTAACCTTGTTTCAAATTTCTGAACAAGGGGTCGTTACAACAACAAAGCCGATCGACTTCGAGATCGGCAAGAAAAACAACTATGATTTGGTGGCTGTGCGGCGTGATCGAGGTGACAAGGAAGGAGGGGTTCCTTTAAGTATCCGAATCTTTATAACGGACACGAACAATTTCGGTCCGACTTTCCCTTCAAATTTGTATCATGGTAGAGTAAAGGAAGATTCTCCAGTAGACACCATCGTGTTGGGTCTTGAAAACTGCTTTGCTGAAGACAGAGACAAGGAAGGCAGCATAAGTTACTCCATAAGTGGCGGAAACGAGAAAGGGTACTTCAAAGCTGAACGAAGGATTCTTAGCAACATTAATCGCGTCTTTCTTGTTTTGAAAACTACAAATATCAGGATCGAAAGGGACGTCAACACACCCGAAATAATCTTAACCGTTCGTGCATTCGATGGCAGACGATTTGGAACCACTAAAGTTAGCATTACTGTCCTCGATGTTAACAACAACGATCCAAAGTTCGACAAGGATTCTTACACGGCCACTATTAACGAGGATACCCCTCTCATGACATCTGTATTGCGAGTTCGCGCAACCGACGCGGATGTTGGTACCAACGGAGGTATCTATTACTACATCAGCGGAGGTTCGCCATGGTTTTCTGTCGATGCTATCACAGGAGTTATGAAAGTGGTGGGTCGACTACCCAATCAAGCAGCTGTTCAACTGCAAGTTACTGCTCAAGACCGCGGTAGGGACAGCACTAGAACCCACACAGCAGATGTGGAGGTAAACATAAATCTTATTGCTGACTACCCTCCAGCTGACACAGCTAACCCAGGAGCAAACACGCCTCCAGTGTTTCCAGAAGGAAGTTACTCAGCAAATGTGCGCGAGGATTTCCCTGTTGGTGCTGTTGTTCTTGTTATCCATGCAGTGGACCGTGATCCTCCGGGCCGAAACTCACGTATTCGGTACCGCCTTAGTGGAGACAATGCTTTCCAAATCAATCAAAACAATGGTGTGGTTTCTTTGAGGACGAATTTAGATTATTCAATTAAAAGTAGTTACGACCTTAACGTTAATGCTGAAGATGAAGCTCAAAGTCCCCTCAGTGCAACAGCTTCTTTGAAAATTACTGTGCAGCAAGTGGATAAAAATCGCTTTGCACCAGAGTTTCAGGCTCCAAATAAATATCAGCGTCAAGCATCCATTCCAGAGAATAGAGCGATCAATACAAAAGTTGGTAGTTCTATTATTGCAACTGATTCTGATGGCAGTCAAAGGCCTGAAGGTCAGGTTATGTACTCTATTGCTTCTGGATCTGGCCTGCCATATTTTAAAATTAATGAGAACACTGGTGATTTACGCTCTGTCGCTGTCCTTGAAAGAGAAAAGCAACCTCAGTATAACCTGTTGATTGAGGCTCGCGATAAATCCCTCTATCCTCTAAAATCTAACTTGTACATGGTAATTACAGTCACAGGAGTTGAAGACAATTTTCCTGACTTCTCCCAGCCTGTTTACGAGGCTGAGGTACCAGGAAATGCCCCTAAGGGAACCTTTGTGACAGCCATCCATGCCATTGACCAAGATGGTGATACTGTAACATACTCAATTGACAATGCTGGAAGTGCGTTTACCATCCAAACAGATTCAGGGGTCATCACCACAGCAAGACCACTAGATCCCGCAAATGAGGAGAGGAATTTTGTGCTTTCTGTCCGTGCCACAGCTACAAATAAGGATTCTCTTGCCCAAGTGATTGTTGATGTTGTGAGTGAAGCAGACTCACCTCCAACCTTTGTTAATCTTCCATACAGGGCTACTGTGCCAGAAAATCTGGGACAGATTGATAGCCTTTTGTGTTTAGCTGCCAAAGATAGTCAAGGTAAACCTGTGACATACTCTATTGCCAGTGACACTGATGGAAAGTTTTCAGTGGAACAAGATTCTGGTAAGAATAACAATAAAAATGATAAGTAACTGCCTACACTTTTCAGTCAACTCTCTCTCTCTCTCTCTTAATGACTCTCCCCTAGGTAACCATTGTGAAACACTGTTATGTTTCTCAGTCTCTTTTTGGACTACCACTAAGGTCAAGAATTTTTACAAATTCTTGTGCTTTATGTTTTCAAAAAAAAACCATGTGAGAGGAAATCATTTAATTGTATAATTATATTATCAGATGTGAGACATTTGGTTAAAGGAGAAAAATAGATGTAAAGAGTACGGTCCAATACTTCTGTTTTGTAACAATGCAATCAGAAGTTTGTTAGGTAACCTGACTTCACATGCTCTAACAATTAACAAAAGTTTGAACCACAAAGGTACATTATGCAAAAATCAAGAGAGAGTAAGCAAATGAGATACTGTCATATATTGCCTAAGGTAGAAGATATTTTCGAATTTTGTCTATTTGCTTCAATTAATTGATAAAACAAGAAACAGAAATAAGTAGTGGATTCATTCAGTGTTTGGCTTTTTGTATCAACATTTCTCTTGAATGACCATCTCTCCTAATCATTACACTCTTATGACTGACCAAGACAGAATTTCTCCTAACAATATCAGTACAATATCCAGCAAACAAGTGACGAGAATAAAGAAAAATATCAATTAGGGGATGACTTGTTGATCCCATACCAAATTCTCAAAACTAATGTCTTAATTAGAATTGAATTGCAGACAGTAGAAATGATTCTTAATGCCATCATGGAAGAGATAGGATTAAGCAACCACTTGTACCAGCACTAAGGGTGATTGCTAAAAGGAGAGACATACAAAATATCAGTGTAGGTTTTTGTGATAAGAAACAACTTAACATTAAGCAAAGAAGAAAAAGGATGGTTGACGAGGAATGTTGATGCAGATTGCCCTGATAACTTAGGCTACTGGTAATCCTTGACCAAGTGCAAACTATTTTACTTGTTACTTCAAGTTTTTACCTTACCTACAATTATCCTTTTTTTTTTAATCTTTTATTGTTCTTTTATATGAGAGGTTCTATGTTAAGACTCATTTTAGCAAAGTTGGCAACAAGGGTCTCCATTTGTACTAGTTTGATTGCAAGTTAAAAAAAATTATCAAATTCTTAGCTGATATTCTTCCTTGTTTGTTAAGAGAAAATGAAGGTTTTTTTCCCTTTGCAAGTGAGAAAAATTGAGAGATGTTAATAAGATTTTGATACTTTGAAGTAAAGAGGGGTCTGACTAGTAATGGAAGTGCTCGATGCTTTTCCTAACTTGGTTGGTTCTCTTTTAGGCCGCTTTTCTGCAACTGGCTCTTTTGATTATGAGGCTTTTACGGAAGGAGTGTATAAAGTACAGGCCTCAAGTGGGCCACAACAGATTGCCACCGAAAGTGTCACCATTACTGTCACAGATACAAAGGACCCACCCAAGTTTAGCAAGAGTAGCTACAAATTCTTTATAGATGAAGACACCAGTGCTGGCACTACAATTACAATAACAAATCGAGATGGATCATCGGGGGGATTAGTCATTGAAGATGCAGACACAACAATAACAAATTTTGAGTGTACAATTGAGAATATACAGTCCCTAGCTATAGAAAATCACTTCACGATAAAATTAGTGACTAGTAACAATAACAAGAATGGTGAATGTAAACTGATAACTCAGTCATCATTTGACCACTTTGACACTCCCAAGTTTACATTTGAGGTGCGAGCTACTGATAAAAATTATCGCAACATGTATGCCTCCGCACAAGTGGAGGTTGAAATAAGGGATAAGAATAACAATGCTCCAGTGTTTTCACAGCAAAGTTACTGGGCTTCTGTGGACAAAAATTTTCCTGTGAGGAATTCAATCCTAAAAGTCACAGCCACAGATAAAGATTCTGGCTCATTTGGAGAAGTCACGTATCAAATAAGTCGAGACACTCAGGATAGAAACAGGTAGAAAAAAATTGCCTTTAACTGTTTCGAACACAAAAGAATGCTGTAGTATTTTCTGGGTTAATTACATCCCTTTAGTGAGAGTTACCTCTGTGTAAGCACCATTTGTGAGAGCAAAAGTATTAATTAGACCTGCCCTTGAATCAGTACTACATCTAGGAATGAGGCTATTTTTCATGAAAACAAGTAGGACCAACATTGTAGTAGCCTTAAAGCTTTTACTTAGGGTTAGTGTTCAAAGTTTTTCAGTTTAACTGCCATGAGGGTGGTAAGCTTAGTTTTTTGAAAGCTTAAGGCAATTCAGTGTAAAGCTAGCCCATTTTCCTGGCCAAAATGAGACAGTGATACACATTTCTGTATTGCCGTTAACATTTCTATTTGAAAGTAGTCATTTGTGTGGAGCTGGTAGTGTCAACTACTTTCAGCTCTATACAAACAGCTCATTCATGGCATTAACATTACAAATGAACCAAACAGAACAACGTAACTTTACTGACGGATCAAAACAGACCAATCACGACTGAGTTACACCACTTGAGTCTTACAGCCAATTACATCACGGCAAAACTGACCAACCATTTTACACAAACCGGACTAAGAACATTTTATATACTGTCATGAACTATTCACTTGACTCTGATGATGACTTCCACACAGGTTGTCAAAACATCAGTCACCACCACCAACAACAGTCCTTCTCAGGACTATACTCACTTGGAGGATCACACTACACTTTCACATGTTACCCCTGAGTTCAAACCATTTACTATATAACATTTCTATGTTACGCAAAGTTTTAGTGAAGCAATTCCACTGAATAAGGACTGCCTCTGAATGACAAAATTATTGAAAAATGCAGCAAAGTTTAAGAGAGTAGATGCTACATTCAACAATTTAAATTTTGTTTCTATTTATTGGAGTGACTATTCCTGCTTGTTTTACAGATTCAGTTTGGATTCTAACACTGGTGTGTTGTCCAGTGCAAGTTCCTTGGCAGAGAAGACGTACAATCTGTTGATTGAGGCATCTGATAGAGGTAGGTGAACAAACTCAGGAAATTAAAATGTTGTTAATTTGACAGACAGCAATGAGACTGATATCATGTTTTCCATCTTTTTTTTTTTGTTTTCAGCCCAAGAGAATAATAATATTCGAAAGACAAGAGTGTCTGTGCAAGTCTATGCTCCTGGAACAACATATATCCAGTTTGATCCAGCAAGTTACTCTAAAGACATTGCAGAAAGTGCAGCAAGAGACACTAATGTATTCAAAGTAACAGCAAAGGGACCAAATTCGATTAGATATAGTATTGTTGGTGGAAATATAAACAATGCCTTTAAAATTTCTCAAAGTGGACAAGTCCAAGTAGCAAATTCTCTTGATCGTGAGACACAGGCAACCTATAAACTGGTAATTCGTGCTAACAAAGATGGCACTAAGTTGGCTTCAGAGGTGACTACTACCATCAATGTGCTAGATGTGAATGACTTCACGCCAAAAATAACGTTCATGGAGACTGAACCTAAAAACCTTGCAGTTGAAGACTACTCACCCAAAGGAAGCTTTGTAGTAAAGGTCAGTTATTATCAACTAGCCATAGCCAGAATAAAATGTACAGGGCAAAGTAAAAATTTCTCAGGCTTTTTCAACTTAAAAAGGTTTTGAATGTTCTGGCCAGCACTCTTCTGTCTTCAACTCATGTAGTTGTTGTATATCATTTATTAGAAACTTGAGATATTTTTTAATTGTAAATTGTATAAGAATGTTGTCAGTGAGTGAAAAACACATGGGGTTTGATTGGAACTTTTTATGTCTGGTTTGGATTTGTTCCTTTCTTTAACTTTCAGAAGTGATTAACATGCAACTTCTCACTGTAATAATGTATCCATACATTATCCAGCAAACAGGATATGAGAATATTCAAACATATCAGGGAGAGGTTGTTATCTTGATCTAAGGCCAAATTCAAATGTTTTGCAGTAACAATCACATATTGGGAGTTAAAAGGTTGAGATAACATGTAATTGTATAGGAAAATTCATTACTGGACGAGGGAATTCCGCATTAAATTGCACGTGAAAACCGAAAAGGAAGAATGGTAAACTTGAAGTATTTGAGGGAACCATTAACCATCCAAGAGCAACTGAAGAATTTAGTATGCTCAGGAAAAATTTCGTCATGGTGATAACTACTGGTGTAGTCAGACTTAAAGAACCAATCACCCTGATTGAACAAGTCAGTTGCAGTGCATATGTCTTCACATTTGAACTTGCATAATCTGGTAATGAGTGCGATATCGGTTTTGAAGTGCAATTTAATGCGGAATTCACGAGTGAAGTACTGGATTTTCCTTGAATTGCATAACAGAATAATAATGAGAAAAAAAGGAAACAGCATTACTCAAAATTGTTATGTTTACGTAGATGCGAAATGATATCATTAGCCTAGTTTTCAACTCACAATTCCATGCTAAATACCTAACTTTGTTAACCAATCAGAATGCGAGATTTTATTCAATGATGCAGTTCTACTAAGAATTAACTGGTAACAGAATAAATTTGACTATCAGTAACTTGATGCATTGATGAGAATCATAAGCAGTGCAAGTTGTTGTAGTCTGATTATTTTAAGATTGGAAGAAAATGAAAATGTATGTTGATTCCTCATGCCAGCCATGGTTAGATAACCCTTTAACTCCTTGGAGTGATTAACATGTAACTTCCCCTTACAATATCCATACATTATCCAGCAAACAGGTAATGAGAATGTTCAAACTTATCAGGTAGAAGTTATCTTGATCTAACACCAAATTCTCATTATTAATTTACAAGGAAATGTGGAGCGGTTAGAGGGGAGAATTAACAATCAGATCTTGGGAGTTAAAAGAGATCACAGGATTTTAGACTTGGCAAGGATTGGAGTTTTTGAGGATAAAGTTATAGTACAATGTACAGTGCATGAAAAAATTAAGTTCAAGTAAATTTTTGGTTGAGTCACTCAACCAAAAACTTATTTCAACCGGAACTGTTTTTTAAAAATGAGGCAAGAGTGTGTGTGTGTCTGTGTGTGTGTGTGTCTGTGTGCGTGCCTGTGTGTGTGTGTGTCTGTGTGTGTGTGTGTCTGTGTGCGTGCCTGTGTGTGTGTGTGTCTGTGTGTGTGTGTGTCTGTGTGTGTGTCTGTGTGTGTGTGTCTGTGTGTGTGTGTGTCTGTGTGTGTGTCTGTGTGTGTGTGTCTGTGTGTGTGTCTGTGTGTGTCTGTGTGTGTCTATGTCTGTGTGTGTGTGTGACAGTGTGTGTGTGTCTATGTGTATGTGTCTGTGTGTGTGTATGTGTCTGTGTGTGTGTGTGTGTGTGAGTGTGTTTTTTATGTAATGTGTGACTAGACAGCATGGACAGTCCACAGTGATGTGACATTCTTGGTGACATAGCACGGGGTATTACACTATAATTTACTAACATTTTTTTTATATCCACTAGATCTGTTGTAGCCTCATTTTATTTTTATTTTTCTGTGAGCGGGAAAAATGAATGTTGATGATCAAAATAAGTAAGGAATGGATCGTGAAGGAAAGGAGAGGGGAGATGGAGTGGATGTTGTTGGAATTTTTAATGTACAGTGTATGTTTAGGCGTGATAATCAGTTTCTGTTCAGGAAACAAGCCCATGGTCCTCCAACAAATAGTGATTTTTAGCTATAATGCTATTATTTCAAAGGAGTCCTTTAACAATTTCACCATATTTCATTATTGTCGTAGGTAACTGCTATTGATCGTGATGCAGGTGCTAATGGACAGGTCAAGTACAGTATCACCACGTCAAACACTCCATTCCAGATAGATCAGAATACAGGTGTTATCACAGCCTCACGGGAAATAAGGTAATGCTGTGAAGGCTATGGACCATATGTACAAGGGCGTTGATTGTGATTTATCCAGCTGATCAAGCTTAGATGGTGACTATGCCAGGATGATGTACTTGTTGGAGTTCTAATATGTTTTTCAGTTTTATGTGGTCCTCAGCAACAACACACAAACCTTGCTGATATCTTTAAAAATTTTAATGACTTAGATATTCTTCACTTCCCCTCTCTTTATATGTTTGCTCATTAGAGTATACCGGCCTTTCATTCTGTTTCAATTAGGCGATCTGAACAGCAGGTATGGACTGTTCGTGTTCAAGCCAGGGACAGCAAAGGTCTCCAAAGCTTTTATAACCTCAGATTTACTGTAACAGAAGGGCTACAAGCACCACAGCTGTCTCCGACTATTCCAGTTTCCTTGGATGAGAACAAACCTGTTGGTTTTAAGGTAAAAGATATTTCACCAACAACACCAAACAATAACTACAAGTACAACATCCTTGGTGGAAACACCGACGAAGCATTCTGTATCAACCACGACGGTGTGATAAGCGTGGCCAGACCCCTGGACAGGGAGAAAATTTCCTCGTATTCATTGAAAGTGTCCGTTTCTGTGGGAAACAAGGTCAGCAACACGTCTGTGGATGTGACGATTAGGGACAAAAATGATGACGCTCCCCGGTTTACTAAAGCCGTCTACTCTTTTGATGTTAGCGAAGACAGAGGTTTGTTAAATGATTACTTGGGGTTAGTTTCTAGAGAAACGGTGGTGTTGCGTCGGTGGGCGGTATCACAAAGTAATGTGATTTTATCAACTGTGTTGATATTGTAAATTGGCCACCGTAAAGAGTTTTCAAAGCTGATGTTTCGAGCGTCAGCCCTTCGTCAGAGCGAAGGTATGTCAGTTATTTTGAAAGCCAGCAATCTGGTTGAAATCAGCAAGCTTTGATTTGTTCATGTTATCACAGGAAGCAGAGGGTTTACATTTTTGTGAATTTCCACAAACTTAACAGTTGCAGCGCGACTCGGTCTTGTAGTTGTAAGATGTTTTTGTAATTGCGAGAATAGTTTCACTGGAAATACAGTCAAATTTCCATACAGCCACTGTCTGAATAGGTACATGCAGCCGGTATCTATCAATCGATACAAAAAGCCTCGTCCGTCATTCGTATTGCAGGATGCATCGGCGGCCGTACAGGTCGTGTATGGTTTAAAGTTGCTTCTCACCTACGGCCATTCCACCCGAGAACGTTTGCAATATTGTGAAAAGTAACCACACTTTCAAGGGGCAGGGTGCATGAAAATTTTCAGGAATGCACTTTGTTTCATGGTAAACAACTAGAGAATTCTGGTGTACAGTGAATATTTCAAGTGATCAAAATCGTGTTTGCGTTAGGCTTTCCTTCTCCTGAAGCTCTCTCTCTATTCGTTTCGTCAAATAAAACTTAGTCGTGTAAAATCGCTCGGTGATATGTTATATGTGGTACCTTTCGAGCTTTGCTGATTTGGGTGGTAGGCCTTCAAATTTCAGGCAGACTTTTGATGATTTTCCCTTTTTGCCGAAGGTTTTGCTCAAGAAGTTGGAAAAGTGTCAGCAGAAGACAAAGATACTGGAGATAACGGAGAAGTCGAATATCGGTTGTTGTACACTGTGAATGTAAACTCGAAGTTTAACGTTGACCCCAAGACTGGCTCCATTAGTACTATCGATGCCCCGGTTGGCTCCAGTCCCTCTGCTAGGCCACTTGATTTTGAACAGATCAAGCAGCACGTTTTATACATCCGTGCAGCGGATAACGGAATTCCTTCTCTTTCCAGTGAGTCGCACGCTTTTGCGTATAATGCCATGATAGAGCTGAACTTCATTTTTTTTTTTTTTACCCCAGTGGTGGTCTAAGCAGTTAGTAGTGATAAGTTTTGAACTCCAAGGCATTATGATGCAGAGATTTGGGCGTTTGTTAGTTTGTTTTCAATGTAACGTACTGTCAAAAACGACCAGGGAGATAATACATAAACATAAATGACTGATTATTGAATAAACAGATGAATGAGTAAATGAAAAAAGACGTATTGAAATATACCATAGGCAAATAGACACAGGCATCCATGAGCTAAAAGCCATCATGCTGCGGGGATGGGGGGAGGGGTCCACCGAAAATTTTTTTTATACATTATTCATCTTAAAGGTAAATACCTGAAAAAAAAATTTCAATTTTGGAATACCTTCTTTAAGAAATGCGCAAAAGACGTTACCTAATTCATGTTAATTCGGATAATTTGGTATTGGATTATTTAATAATCCCCTTTGATATTTAACAATTATTCCACGAGCGCGCGTTGGATATGAGATGATAGATAGCCAACGAGGCGCGTAGCGCCGAGTTGGCTATAATCATCTCATATCCAACAAGCGCGAGTGGAATAATTGTTTTATTAAAAACGTTAAATTAAATTATTAAATTTTATTAAATTTTTAGTTCCCTTTTAATTTTAAGCTGACACGTACGCTTACCATATTTGTAGATTATGGTATATTGGCTGATATACCATAATGGCTAAGCCAATAAAAAGTCTTGAATTGCATTATCCAATGATCTAGTTTTTAATAATTTTAATTTTTGTCTGCTTGATATTGTATCGATATTCAATTGTAAGAAGAAGTTTCCTATTGGTTACGGGAAGTACAAAGTCGAAGTACTGCGTTGTACAGCTTGCTATTGACATGACTATGCTGATTTCTGAACTTGCGTTAACTTTCATCTGTATTCTTTTCCTTTCAAAGCCATCGCCAAAGTGATGTTCAACATAAAAGATGTGAACGATCAGACCCCTAAGTTTTCCGCGGATTCCTACGTCTCTAAAGTAGCCCTTGATGCCAAAGTGGACTCTCAAGTCCTATTGGTTGTAGCCACGGATTTGGACAGTGGTGATAATGGTAAAGTGGTTTATAACATTACGGGGGGTAATGAGGAGGAAGCCTTCAAAATTGATCCTGATACCGGAGTCATTAAGGTCAAAAAGTCTTTAACAACAGTGTCAGCTTCTACTTTTACACTTGACGTGGAAGCCAAAGACAAAGGAAATCCGCCGAGAAGTACTATCGCTAAAGTGGACCTGAATGTCTTTTTACCTGATGGACCGCCCAAGTTTGTCGTTAAACCAGTCGTTCAAGAAGTTACAGAAGGCATTAAAGCGAACAACAGAGTCATCGTCGTGAAAGCGGCCACTTCTGAGGCTCTTACTTATGAAGTAGTATCTGGTAACGAAGATGGCTTGTTTCGGATTAATCCTTCCACAGGTGAAATTATGGTAACAAGAGAGCTGGACTACGAGGAAGCTCGAGAACGTAAGCTTGTTGTGCGAGTGATGGACACTAGAGACCGCAGTGATCAAGTGACTGTGATCTTTCAAATCAAGAATATAAATGATAACGCCCCCACGTTCCCTGGTGAGGTTGATGGTTATGTGGAAAGAAAAGTAGAGGACGACTTCCAGGTAGGCGATCCTGTCGCCCGTCTGTCAGCCTTTGACGGTGATGTAGGGGACAAAATCACCTATACATTATCTGAGAATGCACGGGCATCCTTTTCAATCGATAAAGAAGGTTTCTTGATAGCCAAGAAACCTCGCAAGGAGTTCCCATCTCCGGTAAAGTTTAACTTGACCGCCAAGGATAACGGTTCTCCACCACGCGAGAGCAAGGTTAATGTGCAGCTTGTGCTGGTTAGCTACAGACCGGAACAGCAGCAACCAGTGAGAGAGTATGTTAGAGAAGACAAAGAGGTCGGTAGTGTGGTAGCCATAGTTCCAAGGTATTTCCCTGGTAGCACACTATCAATTATCTATCCGCGGAAAGCCAACTTCACTGTGGATGATTCTGGCAGAGTTCGCATGACGAGACCGTTTGATTTTGAAGCGAGGCAGTTCTACACTTTAACCGTCCGAGAACAAGAGCCTGCCCCACTCAGTCGTACTAACGATGTGGATGTTGAAATCAATGTGATCGACATCAATGACAATAAACCTGTCATGAAAATGGTCGAGTTCTTCGGCCGTGTTAACACCAATTCGCGGCCGGGGACGAGTGCGTATCAGCTCAAAGCCGAGGATAAGGACGGTGGCTTGAGTGGGAGGATTGGCTACCAGATGGTATCTAGAGGAATACCGTTCGCCATCAATCCCCTAACTGAAGTTGTGGAGACAGGCGGTATTCTAGAAGACAGGGGAGGTTACAATGTGACTGTGTTTGGCTTTGATTTTGGCGTCCCGCGTCAGTTTGGCGACTCGGTGTACCTTGATATCAAGACTGTCAATTTTAAACCACAATTTTCCGAAAGTTCGTACAATTTCGAAGTGTTTGAGAATGATCTTCCTGGGAAGGTGATTGGTGTTGTCAATGCGACCAGTGCTTCTGGAGCAAGACTGGGTTTCTCAATCGTGCAAGGTGACACGGATAACAAGTTTTCCATTGAATCTACTGGTGAACTCATAGTGAACTCGAGGTTAGACCGTGAAAAGACAAGCATGTACAACCTGAAAGTTAGAACAACCGAGCAGATTCCTCGTGGGGACTCCAATGATGTAGATGTTCGCATCTCGGTGAAGAACGCTAACGAGTACTACCCTTTCTTCCCCCTGAAGGTGTATGAAAAATCCATCAATGAAGATGTCGGATCAGGCGCCTCTGTGCTTAGTGTCACGGCATACGACTGTGATTGCACAGGTTGTGCATGCAAAAACGCAGAACTGAAGTACTCATTGGAAGGTACTAATGTTTTTAAAATTGATGAAGTTACTGGCTTGATAAGTGTTGGTGATACACCGCTTGATTTTGAAACTCAAAGGAGACACTTATTTAAAGTTGTCGTGGAGGATTTTGGCGAAAAAAAGTTCTCTTCAAGGTCGTACGTCAGGGTTACCGTACAAAATAAGAATGATGAAGAACCGAAATTCCAGAGGGGAGAATACAGCATTGATATTGCAGAGGATGCCGCGACTAATAAAGCTCTAGCAGCCATTCTTGCTAGAGATGTTGATGGCGACTCTTCATTGTACTCGATAACCAGTGGCGCTAGCAGCATCTTCAACATTGATGGTAACACCGGTGTACTGTCACTCGCACAGAGTGTTCGTGGACAGAAAAAACAGTACACTCTCACAGTAAGGGCAACAGACACAGCTCCAAATCCGAAATATGATGAAGTGCGTGTTGTGATCAACATTGAAGATATCAATGACAACCGACCAGTTTTCACTGTTTGCCCGAATGAAGTTACTGTTGAGGAGAACAAACCGACAGGCGAGAGGGTAATTCAAGTCACTGCCAAGGACTCAGACAATGGACGGAACGGGGAAGTGGAGTACAAGCTTGTTACCGGTGGAGAAAGGCTCTTCGAAATAAACAATTCCACAGGTCTGATTACTACAATAACTAGCTTGGATCGAGAGACTGCAGATCGTCACACGTTGATAGTACAAGCCGAGGATGGAGGACACGGAAGAAATGAAGCAGAGAGGCTTCTCTCCTATTGTATCATAGAAGTTAAAGTAGCCGACGTTAACGATAATTATCCCGTGTTCTTCACAAGGCAATATTATGGTAGTGTGTTTCATAAAGCTCCAATAAGTACGACTGTCTTGACTGTGAGCGCTACGGACGATGATATAGGAAACAACCAGAAGGTGGTGTACTCCTTAGTTGGGTCTAATGACAAGTTTGAAGTCGATGGAACAACAGGTAGCATTAGAACAATCGCGGTCCTGTCCAATTTCGAACAAACCGTACAGCTGAAAATCCGAGCATCCAATCAGGCTACCCCAACCGCTCCAAAAACAAGTTCATCGGAGACCACAGTTGAGATAAATGTTGTAAACAAGCAACCACCCAAATTTGAACCAAGTAGTGTTTACACTGCCGAGATTCAAGAAGACGTGGAAGTAGGAACACCAGTGGTGACGGTGAAAGCGGAAAGCCAGGTTAACTCCACGAATGTGATTGCGTATAGTTTGGTGAAGTCATACCCCAGTGCTGAGCAAAACTTCAAGGTTGATCCAGGAACAGGAGTAATATCAACTGCAAGTACGCTTAATTTTGAGCAGCAGAGTAGCTACACGCTTCAGATTCGCGCGAGAGAGAATGAAAATGATTTGTATGCCACTTGTTCTGTCGACATAAAACTGAAAGATGTAAACGACGACACACCAACATTTAAACTTGAAGAGTACTCCGCCAGAGTTCCCGAGGAAACAGCTGGAGGCTTCAATGCGATCACGGTCAAAGCAGATGACAGGGACACCGGTTTGTTTGGTCAAGTATTGTATTCACTTGATGCGTCTCAGAAGTTCAGGATAGTTGCAAGCAATGGCACCATCTTTAGCCGGGAGAAATTTGACAGGGAGGCGGAAAAAACTCACACTGTGTTCGCGACCGCCACAGACGGAGGCACGCCACCTCTCCAAGCCAAAGTTGTCGTTTCCGTTGTAGTTGTGGATCAGAATGATGAGCCTCCCGTCTTTGAAAAAAGGAAATATACAGGTAATGTCCAAGAAGATGCTCCCATAGGCACCTCTATCCTTGACCTATCAGCAACGGACGCTGATATTGGAGACAATGCAAGGTTGGAGTACTTTATTTCTGGCGGAGGACAGTCCCAGCTTTTCAGAATGGAAACAGTCTACAGTCCCGAAAACAAGGGTATTCTTTATCTTGAAGGCAAGCTGGACTTCGAAAGCAAATCAACTTACACCATTAAAGTGACCGCCACAGACAGAAAAGACAGCGACACGGTGGACGTAGTCATAACGGTAACTAAATCGTAAATTTGGGCCCACTGACGAAATAGGTTTTAGGGTGTTAGATAAACCCTTCGACTCCTAAGAGTGACTTGCATCTAATTTCTCCTTACAATATCAGCCCTAAATCACACATTGAGGTCCTGAGAATAAAGAAAATGATAGACATTTAAAGAAGCTCTTGATTGTTGAACTAATTCCCCCCCCCCCCCGTGTTAGGGTGAAAAGGATCAGGTAGTACCCGCAACACTTGATGGCTTAGAGGTTTGAAGGGTTGTTCCAGAGCTGTTTGCAACAAAAGCTCATAGTGTCCCATGACCTTTGTATAGTCCCGTAGGTCCGCGCCTACAATTCTTTCGTCTCGCATGACTTAAATGATATGACTTGTGCAAAGGTTGAAACAGAGATTGAACTTGAATGCTTAGCGAATGTGGATATTTTTGTTTGACAGGTTATTAACACAAACGACAACGCTCCAGAGTTTACTGCGCTGATCTACGAAGAAACCATCCAAGAGGAAACGAAGGCCGGCGAAAAGGTAGCACAGGTTTCTGCAACGGACTCAGACAGCCCTGGTATCAAGGATACACTGGTTTACTCGATTGACAAGACGGGACAGAGGTATTTCTCTATCAACTCAGGAACTGGCGAGATAACCACCGCCAATGAGAAGCTTGATCGCGAAAAAGATCAAACGGTTAGCTTTTACGTCTTTGCCTATGATGGCAAACATAGGGGAGAAGCCCTTGTAAGGGTGAACCTGACAGACATCAATGATAATGCCCCGTATTTTCCAAACCCTCCTTATGTTGGCTCTGTGGAGGAAAATAAAAATCCAGGCACCAGTGTGATGGTTCTTCAAGCAGTTGACTTAGACACTGGTGTAAACGCAATAATACATTATGAACTAGAGGACAATGCCGGGGGCAAGTTTAAGATTGATCAAGACACTGGGCTTGTCACCACGCTCGAAACTCTGGAAAGAGAGGGCCCCGAAAACGAATTTACGATACGAGTCAGAGCTACAAACAGACAGGCCGGTGCCCCACTTTTGTCTGGTACTGTTACTGCAACAATCAAAGTTTCTGATGGAAATGATCAGAGTCCAGTGTTTGATCCCCTAGTTTACAAAGCAGATGTTCCTGAAGATGCCTTGCCCGGGTACCTTGTTACCAAGGTGGCCGCTACCGATAAAGACGTGGGTCCCAACGCAGAATTAGAGTATACAATAACGGCAGGCAATGACCCTTACGAGTTTTACATCGACCCAAGGAATGGTCGCATCCTCGTGTCTGGGCTCCTCGACTTCGATAAAGGGAAGAAAACGTACAACTTGACAGTTACGGTTAGTGACCGCGGAAATCCCCCTAAGAGTGCCCCAAGACCAGCCTTGGTTTACATTAACGTGCTCGATGCCAATGATAATCCTCCAATATTTGTGCCTGCTGAGTACAACAAGAAAGTATCTGAGAGTGTTAAACCGGGTGATACTGTCCTACTGGTAACGGCGGTTGACAAAGACACCGGCACCAACGCGCAGTTCCAGTTTTCTATCACGGATGGTGATGACGCGAATATGTTTGCTGTCAGGTCCAACGTTAACAATGGTAGTATTGGAGAAATTTACACGCTGCTGCAGCTAGATCGAGAAACCGTTCCTCGTTACAATTTGACCGTGGCAGCTACAGACTCTGGAGGGTTGCAGGGTATTGCAGTGGTGCATCTTACCATAACCGATATTAATGACAATGGCCCGTGGTTCAAACCTCGTTACTACGAGGGCACTGTCCAGGCGGGAATAAATCCCAGCCAAGGACAACCTGTCGTGATTCTTGAGGCTTACGATCCAGATGAAGCGAGCAACGGTCCTCCGTTTACATTCTCACTTGTGGATGCAGACCTTAGTAGTCGTTTTAAAATTACAAAAGCCACAGATAAGACGGCTAACATGGCTGCTTTTGGAGAATTCAACAGGGAAGTAAAGCAGGTATGGGAGGTCAAAGTCAAGGCAATAGACAGTGGAATTCCTGCGAAGGACAACACAACGTTTGCGTACATTGACGTTGAAGATGACAGGAATCGAAACGAACCGTTTGACGGAAAATTGACCATCATCGTGAACGCGTACAACGGCAGGTTTGCCGGTGGAATCATCGGCAAAGCTTATTACAGAGACGATGATTACAATGGCGACCAGAATAAGTATAGCATGGACGACCAGAAATTTTTCACCCTCACCCCAGAAACTGGTGATATCACAGCTGAGGCTAATATACCAGAGGGTAGGTATACATTCAGTGTCAAAGTCGAAGAAACGAAACAAAGACCTGGTAACTTCCCTAAGATAGTAACCTCAGACGTGACGGTCATAGTACAAAGTGTAACCAATGCAGCGATCCAGCAAAGCGTGGCCGTACTGATATTGGAAATGAGGAAAACTTCATTTTTTGTAGCTGACTTCTACACAAAGGTTCAAGGTGTGCTAGCGAACATTCTGACTGGTGGCGATACAGACCGAATATTAATCTATAGTATTCAGAAAGCACCTGTCAATCGCGTTCCCCTCGCGGATCTGTTTGGCGTGGAGATTTATCTTTCAGTGAAGTTGTCAAGTGGTGGGATTATGGATCGCTTGCAAGTTGTGAATCAGCTGATACAAAAGAAAGAGAGACTAGAGGGGCTAGGTGAGTTAAACTTGTTGAAAGTGCCGCAAAGATTAGCGTCTTTAGATTGAAAAGAGTCTCAAGTCCTATACGAAATCCACTTAGGACCAGAGAAATGTGTAAATACGAACTTTAAGGAGAGTGGTGTTTAGTTCATTTGAGGCATAGATACTCATTGCGTGTTACAAGGGTGTAATGTTTCGCCATTGCGTTCGTCTGCCTCGCTAAACACTAGTGAAACCACGCTAATAGAGAATTGGTTCATGCGTAGCGTGGGTGTATCGAATTATGGATGCACGCGGGAAGTTTGGAAAGGACGAGAGAAGCGCAAGAGTTTGTTCGCCGAGAGCAACTCTAGCCTCTTGAGTGATTGAGTGGTAGCTCTTTAGGAATTAGGTAGGAATTCCGCGCGCACTATGTTATAATGAACCTCGTATAAGTGTTTCTATATTCTGTATTTAGTATATTTTTTCCGGTGTTTAGGACTAGTGATCGGAAGCATTGGTATCGATGCATGTGCGTACGAACAGCAACAAGTTGGCATATGTAGGAACGTTGTTAAAGCGGCTTCAGCTTTCACCGTGGTGAGTGGTGATTACGGTCAAATTCCTGCCACTCAGAGCTCCTTGACTGTGGTGGCTATAAACGTCAATCTTCAAGCAGAGTATACATCTATCATCTTACCGGATAAAAACTGCACCACGAGCACGCCCTGCTTTCACGGAGGAACATGTCATAACGCTGTTCCAAAGGGAATTATCTGTGAGTGTGGGCGAGATTTTCGGGGACCGGAATGCCAGAGCACGACCAGGACATTCAAAGGCAATTCGTATCTCTGGCTGGAGAAGCTGACCGCTTATGAACGTAGCACTGTCTCGCTACAGTTCATGACTGGAACGGCTGATGGGCTGCTTCTCTACCAAGGCCCTGTTTCGGAAGGTAACTCGTGCAAATTTGTATTCATTTCGAATTCCTATTTCGAATGGATAGTGAAATTTTTAGATGGTACCTGCTTCGATTTTTTTGTTAATTGAGACCATGTGGGCATTTGAATGAGGTCTGGCGGGATTTCATTGTCTATCATGCCAAAAAGTGTTTTTAGATTTAAACCCATTATTACTGTATTCAATGCTGATGGTATAATAAGTGGATGTTATTTCTGTAGGTTGTTCCTTATTATTAATAGGAGTCTGACCACCATTTTTTAGTCGCTTGAGCCTGTTCCATTTTCTTACGTGCCAGCAAGAGTGCGACCAATTTTCGTTTTGTTTTTTTAACTCAGGTTCTAACAATGGTTTACCAGACGTAATGGCCGTGATGATGGTTGAAGGGTACATAAAGCTTGTGCTCACTCTTGGTCCTCATCCGAACGCTCCGTTAGAGCTCTACATGAACCGGGGGGACCGGCTGGATGATAGGCAATGGCACACGGTGGAAGTTATTCGTGAACTTAAGGTGAAAAAATTATTGAATAAAGGCTGAAAGTTTCGAAAGAAACTGTTTGGGGCTGCGTCGGTGGGAGTAACGAAATAACTAGGATATATCAACAAAGTTGAAGTGGTAAATTAGCCACCGTAACGATTACAAAAGCTGACGTCCTAGGCGTTAGCCCTAGGCGTTAGCCCTAGGCGTTAGCCCTAGGCGTTAGCCCTAGGCGTTAGCCCTAGGCGTTAGCCCTAAACGAAGGGCTAAAGCTCGAAACGTCAGCTTTTGTAATCGTTACGGTGGCCAATTTACCACTTCAACTTTGTTGATATATCCAAGTTATATGAAAAAATTATTGTTCGCCATTGAATTATCTCACTGTCTTCGGAGTTTGAGGCAGACATGTTTTGTTATTGCTCGTTAGCAACATGTTAATTAATTACTTTTCTGATTTATTTCCCCACGCAGAAAGTGACTGTGAGGATCGATCTGTGCTCTAAAGCTCAGGTTACGGAAGATGATGGACAAGTTGTAGAGAACAGAGCTTCGTGTGAGATTGAGGGCGAAGTTTGGGGTTCTAATATGTAAGTAATTTAGTTTACTCTTGGTTAGTACCCGAAGTTTGAACCAGGAGCGATGGACCGAAACGAATGTCGTAATCCTGAGACCGTATGTTAAATATGCATGCTTGAAATGGTAAACTAGCCATACACTTAACGTAACAGCGAAAACAATAGCTTACAGAGCTTTTGCCTCGACAACTGTGTAAAAGGTAATTTTTACATGTACACCTCGTCGACGTTCATGGCACGAGCCTTCATCCAACATGTCGAATGCATTCTTAACCCACAATTACCCCTAGTTTCATAGAAACTGTGGCAGAAGAGCGTTGGAAAGCGAGGCAATTATCGATCTTCTCCCGCATGGTTCTTGATGATAACGGAATTTGCCGGGCTTTTCGGCAAGCTGCGCTCAAAGAGAAAAGCCAAATTGTTGTTTTGCTATATATATATCAAAAACTGGATCATTGGATAATGCAATTCAAGACTCTATTGGCTTAGCCATTATGGTATATGAGCCAATATACCATGATCTAATATCTGTACATTGTAATATCCGGTTTCTTCTTACAAAATAAAGCCGAGAAGATTTGTCTAATATCTTGGGGGCGTTTTTTTTAATAAAACAATTATTCCACTCGCGCTTGTTGGATATGAGATGATTATATAGAGTGGAATATATGATTATATGATTATAGATGATTATATACGAGTGGAATAATTGTTTTATTAGGAACGTTAAATTAAGTTATTAAATTTTATTAAATTTTTAGCTCTCTTTTAATTTTAAGCTGACACGTACCCTTGCCATATTTGTAGATTATGGTATATTGGCTGATATACCATAATGGCTAAGCCAATAAAAAGTCTTGAATATCATTATCCAATGATCTAGTTTTTAATAAATATATATATATGTTACTACCATGCAATATTATGCGATTCCTAAATCCGGGGAGATATTTAATCCCTTTGATTTCCTCCTTAATGCTTCTATTATGGCCAGAACGTAAGACAGTTGTACGGAGGTCTTATCCGTTATACTTAGTATACAAGCGTAAGCCAGGATGTAGACAATTTCTCTCGCTTGTCACCTCGCTCGCACGTCCCACTCCCAACGCTGAGCACTGCGCAGGCATCCTGACTTATTTTAACTTATAGTTTTTTTGCTTTAAATTTCAGTTACCTTAATGGATTTGGCCCACTTCAAATTGGTGGAGTAGAGAACAAGTTAAACGATGCAAAGATCAGCTACGCTGGGTTTCAAGGATGCATAAGAAATATCAAAGATAACAACGTCATGTACGACTTGCTGAATCCTCCTTTTGAAAAGAACACAGAATTGGGATGTAAGCTTGAAAACAATCCGTGTCCAGATTGTAACGATCAGGGATATTGCGAGCCATTGTGGACCAATAGTATTTGTGTGTGCGACCTGGGATTCAGCGGACCCAACTGTAACTCAAGTAAGATATACTGTAGTAGATTTGCGTTCTTAAGGTTGTGCAGTTTTACTTGGGAGGAGTTATCGACTTACCGTCCGCCACGCTTAGCTCGCCGACATTTCAAGGAACTTTCTTGCGTGTACTTGCGCGGGTGCGAATCGCTCCTAAAACAGAGGGCGAAAGACACCTGTGGCTTGAAATAGTGTTTAATTTACTGTCAGAACTAGAAGCACACCTAACCGGTAAATGACTAAAGAAGGGGGAAGAAAAATACAAGTAGAACTAAAATGATTCATTTCCGGGCTATGAAACTCTCCGCACGGTTTTACGAACATACGCGCATGTCTGAGAATGCTGACGTATAGGCCACCAAGCGTAACGGGAATGTCAAGGGAAATACAAAGGCATGCGGATGCCGATACACTGCGCTTTCAAAGAATTTGAAAGTTTTCTTTTTTCTTTTTGGCTGCAAGATGATGTCTTTTATTTCCAAGTTGCGCGAAGTTACTCAACCGTCGTAAAGACAAATGTTGCTCGAAATGGAGCAGAAACTTTAAAATCGTTGACGGCGATTAAAGCTGCGAAACGGGTTCAGTAGCAACGTCGAATTCTACTTTGAGATTAAAAAAGAATGTTTAATATGATGCGTTGTAAAATGCGTGCAGAACGACGTTGTTAGCAATTCCGACCCAATTTTTGATTAACAATACATCAGTCGATTTGCGTCTACTGGGACCCTTTTACGATACGCCCTTCCTTTACTTGTAAGTTAATCTTTTTTTCTTTTTTTTAAATGTATTTTTGTTTTACCAGGAACCAATGCCAACTGGTATAAACCAAACAGCTTCACTCAGTACCGAATAAGGCAAACTGCAAGAAAACGCCGAGAACTTGTTCCTCCACCAGTTTCTATGTCAAACGAATTCTTCACTAACATTGCTCTTCAAGTTAGGATATCTCCCAATTCTTCTAATGTGGTTGTCTTCTTGGCTTCCAATAGCCTGGGAACAGAATTCAACAGGATTGATGTAAGAATTTTATTATTGTGATAGATGTTTCCGTGTCGCATGAAAACTTGCGGGTTCCCGCTGGAAACAGTGCCGTAAAAATGTACAGTCTCTAGTCCAATAAAAATCACCAAAGTGGTAGTCAGAGGGTAAGAGCGAGCTTTCAGTATGGATGTATTTTTGTATCAGCCCTTTGGACAGCAAGGTATTTCTTACTGCAATTTAGTAGAATTCAGGGAAATGTTGTGCTGCCCAAGTAGAAAAATATCGATCCTCGCAAAAATTCAAGTTATCTCGATTGACATTAAGTGTTTCTCGTAAAACTGCTGGGTTTTAAGTGTAGGAAAAGATGGACATTTCTATTCCATCCATTCATTTTAGGAAACGTTCTTAATCAGGCGCATTAGACCGTGACTAAAATTATGACTTTATTTATTGCAGGTGAAGAATCACGTGTTGCGTTACATCTTCCGGCTTGGTGATCGTATGAAGATCCTTAGTATTCCCCAACTGAACATAACGGACGATAAATACCACACGATTGTAGTCAAGAGAGAGGGTAACCAAGCAAAGCTTCAGATTGATTATGACGGTAAAGTGGAGGGGACCACAGGTGGTATACACAAACTACTCAATATGGGAGGAGGAAGTTTCTTTACTGGTGGCTTGCCTAATGTTACTGAGGTAGGGGAAGTTCGCCTTCTCTTTACCTTAACCGTTTCGTTCCCCGGTAGGAGTGACCGATAAGTTATTTCAGATCAACTCCTCACCTACCCCTCCATAAGCCAACATTAGGCGTAACTTGTTATCGGTTGGCTGTTGTTGAGTTAGGGGGAAGGGGTGGGGGTGCCCAGTTGCTTAGACACTGACATCGATTCTATAGTTCGATTTGATACCAAATTCTTTGATCACAAATCCTATATAATGTGTGCAAAGCGATAACGAGAATTGACATATGGATCCAAGAAGTGAAATGGTGAATGTGGTTAACAAAGGGACACCGTGTATACCGACGGATTCCTCAGATGCTCACTGGGAACTTTGCCTCAAATTTTTTCATATCTCTGTTTGTTAATTTTTTTTTGATGATAAGTTCAGTAACTAACAAAAATACCTCATCCGAGAGAGAGGTAAATCGTATTCACCGAATTGCGCGAGAATGATAATCGATTAAAGCCAAATACCAATCTTGCCCGAAGACCATGGAAAGAAAACTGCGAGCACAAACAAATTGTCCAAATACTTCACTCGGGCTTAGAATTGTTCCCACGTAAAGCGTCAATAAAATAACTTACTCTGTTAGAGTGATAGGCTCCATTTAAACCGTTTTCTCGAGTCCAGTCTTTGATTCTTTCAAGGACTAGCGTAGATTATTTTTCCTAACAGCATTTGGTTATCGAGCCATTTGGCATGAAAATGTTTGGAGTGGTTTCTTCTGTTCGAGTGGTTTGGATTATGATTGATTTAGGAACTGGAGTTAGTTTCACAAGAGCGCTTGAACAAAGATTAGGATAAGATACGAGGACAGCCATTGTAAAATGATTGTGGCGTTAAACTAAAGGCATAATGTTCTAATTTGTGCTGCTACCGGCACAGCCTGTACACATGTTTTACATAAATTCATGGCTAAAGCATTGCTTTACATTTTTTCCAGGTACGGGTCGTAGAAGCATTTGTTAACAGTGGCGGTAACGCCATCTTGCGCACTGCCGATGGCAACATCATCTCGAGCGGAATAGGAAGTGGATTAGCAGGATATAGTTCCTCTGATGCCGACCTCATGGGTACCATGATAACTGTTGGTCGTGCAGGACAGGTACGCCTCTCAAGTTCTTACATGAAATTGTATTCTTCATTTGGAATGCGAGCCGTTGTGGGTTCGTCAGGCCGTGTATTTGTGGGACGTACAGCAACAACGAGTACGAGAACAATTATAAGGTCTTACGGGTCATATACGCCCATTGGCGTTAAAAGTGGAGGCAAGGTTAATGTCAGAGTCATACCAACGAATTATAACCCAAGTGGAGGCTCTATCGTAGTAAGTTCTACCAAAGGCGGTAGCGCAGTCGGTTCTTCTGGCGGCAGTGGCTCGGCCGGCGGAGGTAGTGGCGCCTCGGGTGGCGGGGGAAGCGCTTCTGGTGAAGGTGGTGTTGTAGTCGGTGGAAGTGGTGGTGTTGTTGGTGGTGGTAGTGTGGGTCGTGGTATTGGTGGACAATACGTCACTGGAGCCACTGTATTAGGAGGTGCCAGCTCGGCTGATGCATATGGACAAGTCAATGCTTATGGCACTTCCCTTGTTGGATGGACACTCCTGGGGGCAACCCCTGATGGTGCTAAGGAAGTTGAAGTTATAGGAGATTTTGGAGGTACGTTCAAGGTTCATACCCAAATGGCTCTTAAAAGCTCACTGATATTTTTTGATGGTACTTGTAGACTAAAAATGGTACTTATGTCATTAACGCATTTATCTTAGGATGTACGGCGTCAAACAATTACAATGGCGTAGATTTGGACAACGATCCTGGTATAGAGGCACGGCGTCAGAATGTGGAATTCGGCTGTCCGTGTTCATCAGGTCTCTGTTTGCACGGCGGAACATGTGTGGATGCCGTACCTCCTTACTGTATGTGCCCGCCTGGTTGGACTGGACCGCGATGCGAGACCGTTGTTACCAGCCCTAATCCAGGTATGGCAAATACTAGTTTATCCCATAAAACACACCCTGTCTGTATTTCTGCATCTTAAGTTTAGCGTGTAAATTCTAATGAATTGGTCGGACACATCTACGAGACAGACATGTTTCCCACTTTTCAATATTTTCTGTCGTCTTTGTACGTCTTTCTCTTCACTAAAGGAATATTGTTCTGACACGGACTCAACTCACGGGTTGACTCCAGAGCTTAGATTTTCCAGAGAAGCAAGTGGTATTAATAAGCTCTCTTTCTACTCAGGCACACGTCCAGGAAGCAAGTGGGCGAATCCTGCAGTTATCGCAATCGTCCTGGTCGTTTTGCTGGCCATTTTAGCAATTGTCGGCGCCGTACTACTAAAGAGGCGACCGGTGCCAGCTGTGGTGGCTGTGGTCGAAGATGGGCACGTTCACGACAACATTCGACCGTACCACGACGAAGGCGCCGGCGAGGAAGATAATTTTGGCTATGATATCACAACTCTTATGAAGTACACGTATGTTGAAAACGGCATAGCTGGTACAGGCGGTGCAGGTTATGGCAAGTTTAAGGATGCTGGGGGTATTGGCGAAGAAGAGTTCACCGTGGCAGAAAATAAACCCCTTTTACAAGGAGCGATGCCTGGTACTGGCTTACAGCACGGGGTTACCACCTTGACTAAGCGTCGCGTTGTACATCCTGAAAGCATTGACGTTAAACAGTTCATCGATACGCGCGTTCACGAAGCGGACGGCGAATATATCTTATCCATCGACGAATTACACATTTATAGGTACGAAGGAGATGACTCAGATGTCGACGACCTTAGTGAGCTCGGAGACAGTGACGAAGAGCCGGATGAGGAGGAGGAGCAAGAATTTGCTTTCTTGCAAGAATGGGGCAAGAAGTTCGACAACCTTAACCGCATATTCAACGAAGACGATTGATCCATTGAGCCGTTTTGTACATAAGCTGATTCTCCAAAGATAAAATCAACAAGTCTAAGCACTTTGTAATCCTTCCTCAAGTGCGTTTAATCAGCTCATATTTTTGACATGGAACGTCCATGACTTCATTTTGTGAAGAATTGTTTGAATATGCAAGTTGAATGAGAAATTCTCGATGTGACGAGAGCGCTTTTTAATACTTGTTAGTACGCGTGCAACTTTTAGTGGCCTTGCTGGGACACAAGCGAGGTACTCGCTGTGAATTTAAATTCGCAAAGGTGTGTAGTTAGGAAAAAAAACTTTGTATTAGAGAGAAAATTTAACACCGTAAGCGTTTTTTGTGGATTTGTTTTATAGTAAGCACGACTCCTAGCGAACAACGCTTTGTTTGGCGTTTTTTGTTATCATCATTGTGTCGGTGCAAAAGATGAATTTATTTAACTCTTCTGGACAATGGGAATGGAATGTCTTTGTTTTTGTACAATTATTCCTCTTTTACCATTGATGTAAGGGGCTACTAAGGCCAGTAGGAAAAAATAGCTATGGTTGAGGTCCGTTTTCTAACGTTTCACGTCCTCTCTTCAATCGGCACGTTTGGAAAAAAACTAGAAATTCCTTAACGAAACGTAATCTCATGATTAGCTAAATATTCGCGTCTAATATTGAACTAATTGTATACACCTGGTGTAAACTATCATTTCAAGATTTTTTTTGGAGTTATTTAATTTCCTCATTTTTGTCAGTTAAAGATTGCGATAGCGCAATAACTTGCTAGATAGAAGTCAATAAATAATGTTTGTACGAAGAAAATGGAACAAATTTATGGTTCTACTCATTACGTCTTCTTTTTGCCTTTTGTATTGTGTACTTAGCTTTTGGTTTGGAATGAAAACATTATTTTGGGCCACGCGCGCTAAACCCAACCCTTAAGGGATTCCCTATTCCATTTTCATCGGTTTATGTGTACTGGATTCGTGCGCGCTCTTTTTCTTCTTTATTGTAATTTTGTTTCTCTTATTTAATGCCTCCACGCAGTAAATTTAAAATTGTTCGCTGTCCTCTGCACTAGATGAGTGTGAGGCGGTTCCACCGAGAGCAATCTTACGAGATTTTATTCGGACATGTGAACAATGTTCATTTTCTGTCTGTCTGTCTAATTAGACACGATTCTTATCAATTGGATGCTTGGATTGAGCGAATATTACAGGAACAAAGCCCTCACTTTGTTCCTATTAATTTTGAAGAAAAAAAAAAGTTTGGAAGGACCACAGTTGAAGCGATTTCTTTGCCGATGGGATTAAAAAAATGCCCATTCATGTAGAGAGAACTGTTGTATTTGCCACTGTCCACTCTTCATGCCTTTATTTGTATACACCCCTTCAGTATCAGCCCAGAGAGGATTGACGAGCCTCTAGTGAGAACTTATAAGGGAAGAAGGGATTCTTTGTTCAGAGATTTGTCCATGTTCATAGGTTGTGAGGTTTATCCTTCTGAGACCTCTTCTATTCAGTGCAATATCCAGGTACTCTCCATGATGGAATTAAAACAGTTTCCAGTAAATCTTTAAATGAAAAAAAAATTATTTTTCCAAATTATCTCCACTTCCAATTTGTCAAGTATGTGGGAATCAGTGATAGTGTTGTCTGATTGTCAGTTGAGTGTAGTCGTGAGAAGGACTGCTGTCAGAAGTGGTGACTGACATTTTGACAACCTGAGGGGAAGTCATCATGTGGGGATGTAACAAAAATTCCCCTCAAAATGGCCCTAGCAATGCCAAAAAAGGTCTCTATGTTACTTTATTTTGTACAAATTTGAAAACTTAGTTGTATTTCGTTATTACATAAATTCAATACTCATTCCTTCAGTTACTATAATAAAAAATATAAAAGAAACAAAAAAAGAGACATTCCAGGAAAAATTCCTTGTTATGTACCATCAAGAGACAACTTAAGAGCAGCTTGAAGCATTTCCTCCTCTGATAATTCTGAAATAAGTAAAAAGAATCAAAACAGCTAATGGAAAAAACTTTGAGGGAGCACTGAATGTGTCCTGCACAGTTAAAAATATGCAAGGTAGCAACATCACATCCCTTCATGGGAGTCAATATCATGACCAGTCAATAAATGAGTAAGGGAATCTAAAATACTTGCATGGACCTGGACAAAAGAAATAGAAAGCCAACACGATGGGAGGGG